GGGGGGGTTGTGTACTGGGGGGATGTTTGCTGCCGGTAGCGTCGACTCTCCTTGAGTTTTCCGCTTGTTGCTCTGCAGCTGGTCCTCTTAGACAGAGCCAGGCCAGCTGTCTGTCACGCAGACGTGACATCGGCATCAATCTTCTCCTTCAACTCTTGGCAAGAAAACAACCAGCTGTAAAAGCTGGGTTGTGGTTGTACTTGTAAGTTGAGTATTATCAAGTCTAAATGGGTAAATATCAAGACTTTGAGAGCCAGGATGTGATCATCTGGGAATCATGATGGTTTAAAAATCAGTTTTAATAGTATAAATCATGTCTTTTTCAAACCTGTAAACTGTTATTTACTACAAAAGAATCAAAATCAGCAACATCTATAAACAGTGTGCGTTAATGTTTCATAGATCAGGAAACAGTTTACAGTTCCACAGTTTCTGTCCTTACAGAAAAGGGGATCTACCCCTCACGTAGTGGAAATACACTTAAATAACTCCAAGCTACAGTACGTGTTGACACAATTTGCCTCTTCCTCTAATTTCAAAACAGGAACCAAGCGGTCTTGATGGAGAGAATAGGGCCGGGAATATTCCAGTTTCAGCGAGGCATTGTGCTGATGAGCTGCAGCGCAGCGTCAGCACACAGCGTACAGTTTACTGCTGCTGACTGAGGCCAGCGTAACCCTTTCTCCCTCCCAGTGACCCTTGTTTATGATTATCAATTGCATATAGGCAGCTTTTGAAGTTTCCCTAGATCAGTTAAGTGAAGTAAGTAAAATCAGCTAAGCTTTTCTCCAAGAAAATCTCAAACATCTGGAGTTCTGCATATTTGCAGCCATGACTTTGGCTGATTTGGTTGATTTGCTTTTTGCATAACGAATTTAACGAGTTAGATTGTGAGCAGCTCAGGAGAAACAGTTCGTGAAGGTACAGTAACCTGTGTTGTGTACTCAGGGACAACAGAGAAGAACCAAAGCAGTTCTGGTTCACAAAGAGTTCACGCTCCTGTCAAATAATCCACCTTCAGCTGATCTCGTGCGGTGGTCTGACCCACAAGAAGAAAGAAACCAGACGAAATAAGCTGCCATGTCGGTTAGTGGAGCCCCGAGAGAGCATTGTGAATATATACGTAGTATAATACGGTGGCTACTGATTGACTGAAAAGTAAACACTGAAGCTCAAAGAAAGAATGCATTCTCTATTGTTTATACAATATGAGAGAGGGACATGATGTATGTGACTATGTATGTATGTATGTATGTATGTATGTATGTATGTATGTATGTATGTATGAAATTATACAACTTATATTGTGAAATAACTAGCATGACAAGATAAAGAACATAGTGTGGTCTAATTCTTAGTATTCACAATAAATAATAATAAAATATAATCTTAAGACTCTGGAAATGTTTTTCCTCCAAACCTAATAACCTAAATCTTAATAATTCAAGCATCTGAAAATAGGATTATTATGAGACATAATATGTGGATCTTACCTTTTTGTCCAGTTTTAGCCAAGTGTAGTAACCTTTGCCATCCATATACTGAAGTCCAAAGTACCAGACTTCACGTATGCCAACGGTTTTCACCACCTGCACAGAGAAAAGGAATGAAAATAAATATATAAATAAGACATATGACATATAAATAAGAGTTGCAGTAAATCCTCACATTTTATAAGCTGCAACTTGAGAAATTCAAGCACTTTTTAAATTATTTTTATAAAATGACTGAAACAATTAAAACATTTTTTATCTAAGTAGTTTTTCTGTCAATCAACTAATCATTTGGTCTTTAAAACCCACACATGGAAAAGCCTTCGTGTTAGTCACCTGGATACAAAGACACATTTAAAAAGGCAATACACATATTCCAGGTAACATCATTTCCCCATCACCTTCTTCACGATTTACGCTCATCAACTGAGAAAGGCGATGCAGGTATTTCACTACTTTTTTACCAGATTTAAGATAACCTTACTCTAAAGAATTCTCAAACGACTCTTTACGATGATGATGTATCCGCACCTCAGAAATCAATGTGGTCATTTTTCCAATAAATGTAAATGAATCACTGATGGTTTCTTTCCAGCCCAGCGAGGAGTTATGAAAAGGCCTTTGAAGGCTTCACGGACGCTGGCGAGCCCTGAGGAATCTAACCTTAAGGGGACATACTCAGGTACCAGCCTAATCTGCTGAACAACCCTCATAGTATTACACATTCCCAGGCCTGAGTATGGACTTGGCTTACGGTAGCAATACAGTCAACTACTGCCAGGAAAAATAAAAGTACACTCTAAAACTCTAAAACTTTTTGTTGTCTGAAGCTTCTGGAAAGGGAGATGGACTCAATCAATCCTTGTAGTACTGGTTTTCTGTTTTATAAGACAGAGAAAGTGAGCAAATCCTGACAGCTGTCAGGCTGGAACTTAAAAAATGAATTAATTCAAATAGTGCAGATCAATTTTCTGCTAATCGGCTAATCGATTTATCACTTCAGCTCTAACTGGAACCAATAATGAGTCTTTTGATGCAATATCAAAAGCTACATTAGGCTAATCTAGTGAGCAAACATATTATTTACAACCAAATTAAAGCAACAACGTTTTATTCTGGGTAATTCCTAACAACGGTGAGATTTTTCCACGACACTAAACACTAAATTGAGAGTGCTTTCTCGACTTGAAGAAACACTTTGCTCACATCTCTCAGGCTGTTGCAATACGCCACAGCACACATTTCACAAAGTGGTCCTATTGTTTGACCGGTGAGGAGGAGTGATACTGTATAACGAGGGCGTGCTGCATGACCAACATCCTGTCTCTGACTCAAGGAACGGACTGAGACGGCCGGAGCGAGTCTGCTGTTACTTTCTGGCAAAAACTGCAGCAGACAAAACTCCTCATTATTAACGTCTAAAAAGGCAGATTATGAGCCTGGTTTTATATTTCAAACCGCACTGGAAACACACGGAGGAATGTTTTCGGATTACCAATTTGAAGATTTTTTTGTGCAGCCGAGGCAAAAAGCGAAAAACCAGTTATAGTTCTGGAAGAATCACTTGTGCTGCGGAAGGAGTTACTATTTTCCACCGGGCTTCTGAGGGGGAGAAAAAAAAAGCCTTTTTTATGGCCTTCAGAGTGGCAGAGCAATTTCCCAACAGCACGTGTAGAACGTTTTTGTGTGTGTGGTCACCAGGTGAGGTGTTAAGTTGCCTGGGTGAAGTTTGAATCAACACGTTGGCACTCCGGCCAAGCCCATTCCCAACGATAAGCTCCAGCCAAGGTTAAAGTTAAAATCAAACTGACATCTTTCGGTAGCCGACGCAGGGCAGGCCAACCTGTAGGAGTGTAGATAACTGGCTTTCACTCAGAGAACTTTGTATTTCGTGCAACAACAACAAGCCCTGGAAGTTGGCCTGAAATGAGAGAGGCTGCATCTCACCTGTAATGAAACTCATAAGAACTCAGAAAACAATCAGCCCTTTCATGCTGCTTTAGCGTTAGAGTCTACCGAGTGGGCTACCGTTCAGACACCTAAATGAACCGTTCTCTCGGGGGATGAGCTACCGTAGAGCAGCTCGGTTCAACCTTCGCACCAGACAAGGAGGTAACAATTTTAACCTTTAACAACATTGCACTTCACTTGACGGATAGATTAACTAGCTTTAATAGCATGCCGTACATATTATGAACACCTGCTGGCAAAAGATACCGAAAATAGTACAGTTCATTAGAGGAGGATTAAATCTGAATGTGGGGACGCAGGTTTAGTAAACTGACATCGCAGCAGGTTGCTTTGGCATGCTGCCTCGACTTTAATGAGTTGGTAGGTCGCTTCTATGTAGCCCGAGAGCTCTGAACGCCTCAGATATTCATTCGAAGTAAGATCAATGTTATAGGCTCGTAAGTTCACTAGTAGTTTTGATTATGTAGTATTATCTGCTTTGAGCTAGTGGTGGGAAGTTAGAAGTAGATAGAGCTTAAAGCACCACTTTAAATCTTGTGTTTACCAGAGATATGCTTATAACTTTTTGGAAATTAGCATAAAAGACGACTAATCAGCTGAAGAAATCTTAGAGTAAGAGGGGGCAAATCGCTGAAAAGATTAACCAATTAAAAATGATTTATTTTTTTGCTAAGATCGACACTCGCCCATCATGAGTTGACGAGCTTCCTAGCTACGAGCTAGCAGTAGAGATGGTGTTTATTGGTGCTAATTGTTTTAACAGCCTCCTGCTGCACGCACAATTCAACAATCTTATTTATCACTTTACTTTGGAGAACATATTTAAGACTTTTAACAACTTCTGAGACCTTTTTTCAAGGAAACAGTAGCAGTAGCTTGCAAATTATCTTTGCGATTGTATCCATCCGTGGAAAAAATAAAGCCATTGATATATGCATGAAACTTCATTCTGGCAATGATTTCAAAAACTGTAAACTCAGTGAAACTTTTGCAATATGGTCGAAGTAGTAGAAGTAGAAGTAGTAGAAGTAGTAGTAGTGAGAGAGAGGAATGCCGCTGGGCTGAAACGGCATTACTCACTGCATCCTCTGGGCTGGCTAACGCGGAGTCTCCAGTGACTTCAGAGGGGAAGGGAGGGATACACCCAGTCAGACCCCCAAACAGAGACCAGCACAAAGGGTGAAGGAGTGTGTTTGGTGATGAAGAGGCAGCGGGTCTATTGCTGTCAGACCACACGTTCATTGTGACCGAAAAGGAAAGGGACTTGGGAGTTTTCCCAAAGACTTTAATATCTAAGAATAGTTCTGCTGTAATACTACAGCACAGAACAAAAGCCATCATGCATACATGCTCCCTCTTTTCATTTGGAACAGCTTTGCAGCAATTTCTGAATGCGCCCTCGACGTGCGGGTTGGTTGTATAAGTGAACTAGTTTCATATTTTGCTCCTGGCACCTGTCAGCCGACTTCCTCGTTGAGCGTCTTAACATGTTGCCATGATTTCAGCTGTTTAACATCAACCCTCTCTCTGCTTTTAACCAAATCCAAACCAGTTCTCAAGAGCTGACGCTGAAAGCGTTTGAACCCACATGAATGCAGGAGAGGGCATCTGGAGAATGAGCCTGATCATGGCAACCACACTGAGCACAGATGTAACTAACCAGTAAATCTACTGTAAACCATGACTGCTGGGATTCTTTTCTAATTGGAGGCTCACGTCAAAGTGAACACGAGCAGCAGTGAGCTGTCATATGGAAGTGAAACTATGCGAGGGTGTGTAGGGGAGCGGCAGAAGTTTCTCTTTAAGAGCAGCGTGACGGGGACTACGGTTATGATCAGAGCAGACCACACGGACCAGACCAGGCCTCATACTCACCCTGGAAATGAGCCCACTGATGTTACTCAGCATTTCCACAAAACCTGTCTAAAACCATGCGAGTGGCACAAATACAAAGCACCTGTTTAAAACACAATCAGGCTACTGACGGACTAAATGTCAGTCAAGTTGAACTTTAGGCTCCGTGAACGGCTGCTCAGATTTTAGACAAGGTGTGAAGCTTCGTAGACGGCAAATCACTAAGTTGTATCTAAAATAGTGCACTGAGCTGACTCTTACACCATCACAGGGACAGAGTAATTATCTGTGGCACACCCCACTAACAGCCATTCTAACAAGTAGGCGGGGGAATTCACCAACACCTACAACAGGGAGATGTCAAAGGCCTCAGCTATGCCTTTCTATAACAAAACGACACAGTGAGAGCTTTAAATCAGAGGCCCACGCTGGTTTATTTATCAAAAAACACAAGTGTCATAAGTGCTGACTTGGTCAAAACTAGCCAACAGACAGCCATAAACAAGCAGTGACATCAATATCACACAATATGGCTGTTATTCTAAATATGGATATGGCTTCTAGTTGATCTTTTAGGGATTGTATGCTTCACATGAGTGTATTCAAATGTTTTTTATTACTAAAAACAACTAAATCTTCCTCACATTCCACCCTCTTCGTCACCTCTCATAATACTGCTGATTAACGACAGAAACATTAGAAATTATTTTATTCTTTTAAATTCACACATCTGACTTCTCCGACATGCAGCCACAATACACGCAGTCGGCTACACTTGCTATTGAAAAACGAGTTATACAGGAAGTGGCTAAAACAATGCCTTTCCTTCCCCTCCCCGATGCTGTCGTACGGCCTCAGAGGAGCTGACACTAATTACATGTCATCTACATTTGGGTACTGAGCCTCACAATAGAATCTTACAACGAGAGGAAACGAGCAAATTAAAAGAAAGTTCTGCGCTTAACAATATTACTCGTGACCAGTAACAGGAGCCACAAAGGTCATGAAAAGATATTAACACTTTTAATACATAACCACATGAGCGGTAATGGACAAACATTAATTAACTAACTCTGTTCAACATTCAATACACACCTGATGAAAGCGCTAACAATCAATTTGAGGGCAAATGATGATGTCTTTCATTTATAAAAGTAAAACAATGTGTTCCAAAGTTATTGTCTTCCGATGAATAAGACATTATTTTTCTAAATAAACAAATATAACAGGAAAATGTGAGTGAGATTTTGCCATACATCATAATTTATAGTTTCCTTTATTGTGGCCACACCTTTTACTCTCCACTGAGACTGTGTGACCTTCACTGATGCTATTAATCGTTAGTTTAATAAATGTCTCAAGTCCTCTTCCTTCACTTATGTTAAGCTGCAATTTTTCCCCCCATAGTAAACCATTTATAATAATCCCTGAAGCTCAGCGGGAAGACAGAGACAGATAAGGATACTTGAAGCCTAAAGCTCCTGTAATCTCTTCTGTAGTAGATAACTTGTCAGACCGAGATGTAAGGAAGGGAAAGAGCTTTGGAGGGATGATAACGAGGGCAGACACTTTCTCCTTTCCTAACGCCGACCTCCGTTAGTGACGTCAATTCGGTTAGTTCGATGTTGAAGGTTGTAGAAGTTTGGAAAAAGATTATAGAAACAGCAGTAGTGGAAATATAAACCAACAGCAATGTATAGCGGGGACGTAAAACAACACAGAACTGATTTGCACTGTACCTGGTCAAACAGCTGCTTGCCGGTGGTGCTGGGCTGGATGGCAAACTCCAGCTCAGCATCCATGGTGGTGACGCGAACATTGACCTGTGGAAAAACATGAGGAAACGGGAGTTCAAAAAGCTGACCGGAGCAACAGAGAGGTTCTCATAGGTAAGGGCTTATACGTGGTAAAGCATGCCAGACTGCAGAACAGACTGTGTGTGTGTGTGTGTGTTTGGTATAGGGGGTGTATTTGCAGAGTAAACACATGGGGCTCTGTGTTTACCTCTGCTTTCTCAGAGCCAGACTGATTGAATGGGAATTTTGAGGTGTTTTGTGGGAGGAATATTCAGTGATAGTTCTCTAACTTTTGATTTTAAGGAACATGCGAGTGCTATGAAAAACCATTTGTAAAGCTTACTTCCCTTATAAGTCATCAAGCTAAAAGGAGGCACCATGGATGTAGTTCAGGATGTCTAGACTGAAGAGAGGAGGGCTGAAACAAGGCAGTCAGTCACTCCCATTCACAGAAAAAAGGCACATCTTTCAGTTCTCTGGTTAATGATCGATCAGAGAAGCCTGTGGTCCATCTAACTGAAACCTGCTTCATGAGCAGATCATTTAATGTCCGCTTACAGGGAACCACCCCAGTGATTGATTGATTACAAATAGCATGAGTGGTGCGCTGCGTGGAATAATGAGCACTGACGTCAACTGTGTGACCCATAATGGAGGGAAACAATAATCTGTATTGTACGTTTGATCAGTAATCAGCAAATAGCATTTCTAAATCACACAAAGGGCTCCATGCTACAAAGCACAAATATTTACAATAGCTGCTTTGAGGTAATGCACATACAGACTCTCACCTCTGTGGGTATAATGTCAAATGTCTCTGGTATTTGCAGGGGGTTATGGAAAAGACCCACAAAAGTATTGACTGAACTTATTCATGCTCAGTGAAAAGGACACAAGGGTTAGTGGACACAGGGCGAAGAGAGAGAGAACGCCTGCTAACAGAGCTCTCCGGTGACGTCTTTCATCTGCAGCGCATTGTGAGCAGCGCTGAGCAAATTCAATGACGCCCACTGGAAAAGGGATGTCTGGGCTCCGGCAGTGACTCGTCCAGTGATTCAGAGCCTCACTGATTCCTAGGAGGCTACACAGGCCGAGCAACTAACTGACGGGCTTCAATCCAACAGGGAGGCCAAATCCAATCACAGCATTGGATGGCAAGCGCCTCACCACACGGTGCCGTCCAGGATATTGTAAGAACACAGTAGTCTAGACAGTGGATTTTCAAGGATGCCCCATTTTTTTTTTCACCCGTTTGTCTCCTGCTTTCAAGTACGGTTAGAACTCAGAACCACATAGAGTTTGTAGCATACGTGCATACACTTTTAAAAAAAGCAGGGGAAGGAGGGGGAAGCACTGCATTTACTTTACACAGCAAAACAAAGATCCCCTTTCAGCTGCAGCGCCCCAGCAGTGCCTCACCATCATCATCTACAGCCTAGTGGAGCCAGATTATCAAAAACTAAATGAAGAAGTGATCAGAAGCGGCTCCAATAGGGGATCATTTGGATCAGTTTAAACGTGATTCTGTGATTCGCTAGCAGCAAGCTCCGACAGATTTAGGATGCGTCTCTCAAACATCACGGTCTATATTTACAGCAGTTATAGATGGAGCAGCTAGAAAGAACACACCCTGACCGGCAGAGAATGGAATATGTGAATATGTGGAGCAGACGGGGCCAACAGAAACCACTGAGTGAGTGATATCTGATCTCAAAGTGAGTCCTCCAGTGGCAACTCACAATAAACTGAAGCCATTCAGAGCGGTAAAGAAAACATGACACATATGCTAAATATATACCGGGAAAGGACCCAGAGTTCCACAATGAGCAACTTTAGTCAGAGGAAAGTACGGGCGTTCATATTAACCGTATAATCCCCCGATTCACAAGTCACGACAGTAATAACCGACTCAATAGCTTCAGCTACAGGAGCAGGGGTTCTCAAATCAGACTTGCTACATAATGACAGAGTTTATTCAGGATCTATTGGTTCCTTCATGTTCAAATGCTCACTTTTTAAATACTTTTTGTTAACAAAAGTAGAAACAAAACAAAAACTAGTTTAAGTTGTAAAAACACCAAAGATGACAATTTGCTGTTTCATAAGGGATTCTAGTGTGTGTGTGTGTGTGTGTTAATGAGCTTAACAGGTCCTAGTTACCTTCAGGCAGAGCTAGGCTGTCCCCCCCCCCTCCGTATGCTGAAGCTAGGCTAACAGATAAAAGATAGAAACTTAATCATATCAACCCTTTAAGCCCCTTTAGCATCAAGGTCCAACATATAATTTTTTGACGAATATAAAAAAGAAAAGGGACACAAGAAAAGAAAACGAGGCAAAGATCAGTGACCTGTCATAAACTCTGTAACATCTCCTAGATCTACCTCCCATAGATAATCCAGAGGACATCTACACATTTACACATTTACACCTGGAGCTGAGACAATCAATTCAACAATAAGCCCACTGACAGAAACATGTACTGATTGATATCAATCGAGCCATTCTTCAAGAATGCCAAATATGTCCGAGTTCCAACCTGCCCTAGTTCCACCTGGTCATGACCTGGATATCCCTCCTACACACTCTCCAGTAGGAGGTTAAGGAGCTGCTCCGGGTCACGTTAAAGACGTGAGGCGGTCGGTCGTCAGCTCGGTAGTTAAACTGTGAATAGATTGCGCCGCATTCTTCAGTGAAGACCATTTAATATTTAACCCTCTGCATGGCTTTACAAGAGCCTTTTGCAACAGGAGTCACCCTGGAGTAATATAACATTACGACGGCTACTAACAGCCCCATTGTGTCCTTTAATGTGCATTTATAGTATTTTCACAGGTTGTGTCAGTATCACGTACGTGCATATCGTTAAAGAAGGACAGTTATAGGACTTGTAGCCATTTTTGGATTTGTGAATCAGTTCTTGAGGGCGTTCCAGGCGTGATTGAGTTATCAATTATTTAATAAAAAGAAACAAATACTAACAATGGGAAACAATGAAAGGGCAACACCCATCCATGTTGATGGTGGCCACGCCTTGTAAAGTCGGTGTCATTGGGCTGTGACCGCAAGGAAACAGGATTCTGGGAGAGCCGAGGAGAACGCCGTCCTTTATACTTCTGACGATATGTCACTCAGATAAGTGAAACATGAGTCACACAAGCACCGACACAGGAGCCTTAACTACTCCTCAGATCTGGCTAAATGTCTTGGTCCTGTCATAAAGTTTCTCTTTTCCAAACACTGTTGGAATGTCTGACTTCATGCCAGGTATCTGAGCTGAGATCATTCAGTGCCTGTAGGTTTCAGTGACAGTTGTCATCAAATTGAAAAGGCAAATTGCCATTTTTGTTCTTTGTTCTTTTTGATTGTTGCTTTTTAGGGGCAACAGTTACCTTACCGATAATCTCCTGAACTTGGCATAACCTTGTTTTAGTTCAAATTTAAAAAGCTAAAACTTGGTGATGTGCTTTAAGACTTTCCTACAATGACAGTTTAGTTTTCCCAAATCTTTACCAGTTACAATGGCATTAGAAGTACAGCTAGTTTTAGAAGGTAAGACATAGATGTACTTAATATCTCTATTACACATATATATGATGTTTAACATGATATTATACGGATAGGTAGGAAATCAAACTGGAGCTGCAACAATTATTTAATTAGCTGTTCAACTATTTTGATAATCGATTCATTGTTTCAGCCGTTTTTCAAGCAAATGCTGAATAACTTCTCTCTCACAAGGGGGGAATTTACTGCTTCTCTTTGTCGTATGACAAAAGTAAATTGGACGTCCAAACAACTAAATTGAAGGCATCACTGTGGGCTTGGAGAAATTGTAAATGGCTCTCTTTTTTCAATGTATAGACCAAAAGACTAATGGATTAATCGAGGAAATGATCAGCAGATTAATCGAATATTGAAAAATAGTCATTAGTTGCAGCCCTAAAGTATCATAATACTCATCTGACTGTGGCTTTGGGAGTTGTCTCCCACCATCCCACCATTCTCTGTCACCCGCACTTGTAATATGTTTCCGGCTACAGGCTTGAGCGACTGACACTCATCAAACTAATCTAATTACACACTTTTCCCAGAACTCAAAATATAAACCCTTATGGTTAAAAGTGAAACTCAGCATTTGCGGGATTAATTTGAGAGAATGACGCTTTCTTGTGGAAACAGCATCATTGCAGCACCTTCATTTAAATAGACTCCTATATTGATATCATTCATGATATGATGCAAAGGCTGAGTCAGTCATGGGGCCACATATTGAACATTCAGTAAACCAAAAGGACAACATTTAAAAAAAGAAAAAATCAAGGCTTGTGTTCCTTTCTTGGAAAAGAAAACGGTCCGGCATTAATGTCCAAAACGTCTGTTTGGGGGCAGCTGGCCTCGGTGTGCCGCTGCTATCAGACAGCAATGATGTCATTTCCACAGCGACGCTCATGACAACCATGAGGGCTATTGTAAACAACCACTGACCACGGCTTTAGTCATTGTCATCACAATACGCCGCTCTGCTCAGCAGCAACCGGCCGCTGTCCTGATCTGAGAGGCGTCTAAACAGCAGTTTATGCTTCTATTTCTGTCCTATTAACGATAATCTTTAATACTGTTTTACTTTTGTTACTTATCAAACTTATTAACTGATGCGGCCGTTTCAGGACTTTCTTTTCTACTTTTTAAATAATAAACAGAATAGAAAATCCATGTATAACACATTTCCATCCCATTTTCCGTCAAACGGTACACCACACATAGGCGTTAATGCTAACAAATGTAAAAGCAGTGAATGAGGGAGGGACGTGCTGCATGTGCGTCTGTACAGTCTGTAACAGCTGGGGTGGGGCAAAATGAGTCAAGAATACTTGAGGGCAAAAGCTTTTCAAATATAGAGCAGCTTCATCAGATAACGTCTCTTTTTGTCTTCTGCCTTACTTTTTTTGATGGTGTAAAGTCATCGATTTTTTTTCCAAGAGGATTATGGGACGCCAACATTTAAGTGGGACGCAAAACCCCAAATTTCAGCCTGGAAAATAACATCAAGAGACTGAGAGGGAGCCCTGTATTCATCTAAAACTAAATAAACAAGACATTTACCCCCCCCCCTTGATTATGATGTTGCACAAGTGTACAACATGATAGAGAATGACGTCAATGACACAGATAGTATGACGATAACTGTAAGGACATTAAAACAGTGCTTAACTGTCCATGTAATACAGGTCTCACTATTATTGTTCCACGCTTTGGAGCAACGTGGACGATGTTCACTTAAACATATGGGACCCCCCCCACCGAGATATGAGAGGAGCATGTGGTGTAACACAGACCCGACTGATACTGATACTGTTAGTGTCTAAGACAAAATGACACATTCAGACCAGTGGGAATGACCCTGTTCTGTGATTACGTCTATAAATGTATTCTTGTTTAGTTTAAAGCCCAATGTTTTGTTTCTGGCTCACACACTTTAAAAGAAGTTGACAAGTTAAGTACATGTAATTAAATTGACTAATGTCACAGTGATCATTCAGCTGTCGGAAGTTGAAGAGAACTACTCTAACTACTACTAGCATTACTTTAACGTCTGCCACTCCCAGGAGAGCATTTAAGATTTATTTCTCAAAATGAGCAACAAAAAAAAAAAAAAAAAAAAAAAATCACACAATTTGGAGCGAAAAAATTAACTATGACCTCTCAGAAGATCTGATTTGAAGACTCAGCATCAGTGACTGAAAGTATCCACAAATCAAAGAACTACTCACCGCTTTAGGCATTTTTCTGTTCTTTTCCTTGCTCTGTGCGAGGAGCTGTTAAATAAAATCGTGTTTCCAAAGGAAGAGACCTGAGCTCCGTGTGTCCTCCTGCAAAGAGGGAAAGAAGAGAAACGAGTTTCAGCCACTTCGGCGTTACTTAAACCTGTGAGAGCAGCTCGGCACTCCTGCGGGCGACAGTCATCAGGATGAATCACCGAGAGAACCAGCAAGCTGGCAGTGGCGAGACAACATATCACCGGAAGCTACCCGGTCAACTTCAGAATAAGAGTCCCTTCTGTTCGTGTGTATTCCTAACACTTTTACAAGTCCTGCCAAGATTCTGACCCCAATCTTGACCACAGCAAACCCCATCTTTAATTTTAAACTTTAACGTTTTCAATTTTAAACTGTAAACTTAATGTCATTGCTATAAAGAAGTTTGTCAGATACCTAAAACCAACTAATCTAACGGGTGAAAAGGACAATTATATTTTCAATATTGTGTAATACCTCAATTATCTTTTTCTATTATTCATCTTGACTATAAACTGTTCGACAATGGTGAAAAACATTCATCGCAAATACTCAGAGCCCAAAGAGACGTCTTGAATTTCTTATTGTGTCCGGCCAACAGTCTAACACCCAAAGATATTACATTGAAATATGACTTTAGGGCTTCAACTAACGATTATTAAAATGTTTAATTAAGCTGTCCAATATATATTCTATAAATGAAATACTCATTTAGTCTTGAAAATGTCTGAATGTATTGAACAATATCCTTCACAAATTCTCTGAGCCCATGATGACGTTCAAATGTTGTGTCTTGTCCAACAAACAGTCCAAAATGCAAAGATAATCAATTTACACATTCACATTTATTTACAGAGAAAAGCAGTACATTCTCACATTTGAGAAGCTAAAATGTTTGTTTTTTTAAATTGCCATTATTGCTCAATACATGACTTACATGATTAAATCTAAAATATGTTTTGGGTGATTGGCTAATCAACAGAAAAAGTTTGACCACAGTACTTCTGAGAATGACAAATTCTGTCCATCAAGTATCATTTATTTATCAGTATCTCTTTCAATAGTGTATATTCCAGCCGGACCCTTTAATGCTTTACTCTAAATGATTTTATTCTGACATTTAACACCGGAAGTCCCGCAGTTCTATTTTACCTTGACACTGTCGACTCACCAACACGAGCGAGGTTAAATACGGTCCTCAACGTGCCTCACCCACTAGCTATGATAAAAGTTATAGTCCCCACCCTGCCTTGTTTTAGTCTTTTATTTTCACGCCTTCCGTTGCTAACAACGTAGAGTAATAGAGGCCATTTACACTAGTCCGTGTCGCGAAATAAAGTCGCTTTAAGAGGAAAGGACACACTTTGCATTACACCAGCCGCATATAACCTGTTGAGGTTGTAATACTGTTATAAATTGCAACAAAGTGATGATTCCCAGGGTGTATTTCCGCTAGAGGGTTACGTCTGTGTTATGAGTACACACCCCACAGCGACAGTGGAGCGATTAAAACTCAGCAAACGAGAAATTCCACCTCTTTGATCGGCACCGAAAGATGACGTATGTTTCACAATAAAAAGAAATCGTTTAAAAACTAAGCAGATTCAGCCCCAGGCTGTAATAACAACAATGGTGCCCCCCTTGTGCAGGAGCTTCCTCTTCGCTGCAGTCATCCTCACTCTAATCCCACAGACACCTGTTGTGAGATTTGTCTCCTTTGTGCAGAGCCGCGGAAAATGCGCGGAAAAAAAGTGTGAAAAGTATGTTTTCACACAGCTCCGAGCTCGCTTTACTGCAGTATAAGAGACAGGTAGTTGTTTGTCTTACCGGAGCCGATGAGGTTTAGATATGAGGTGACTGTCCGAAGCCCACAGCAGCAGATTTCTCCTTCCTCTGTTCAGACCGGCGCAATATGGCGCTCATCAATCCTACTGGGGCGAGACTGTTGCTTCTGTCACCGGTAGGCTGGAGGATCGCAGGTTCAATCCCGGGTCCGGGAACCAGCCGGGGACATTAAATGCGGGATCATGAAAACATATTGTACAGTTAGTTTAAATCAATGAAGGCTAATCTATGGTAAACATTTGGACTCTGTGTGATTGTGTCTAATGTACATTAATGATGGTTTAAACATAGCATTCATACAACATTATAAATATTACTATTTTCACTGATACCTGCCTTATAATTACCCCTAGTACCACTAGTTACCACTTATCACTAGCAGTATTACCAACTGCAGAACATTTCAAAATTGCAGCTATTTATGTTTATCAAAATGTATTTTATAGCTTAAAATGAACAATAGATCAAATCCTTACCTAATAATGAAATTCTTCATCATTAGACTACTATTATATAATATATGTGTTCTTTATTTTGGAGTTTAACTAAAGATTTTATTGTTTGGATCGCACTTTTATTTTTTTGATGTATTTTATGATTTTCACAGACAATATGTGACAGACTATGACATATACAACATTTAAAAAGCAAAGTACATAAACCTGAAGTCCATGTCGTTCTTCATAAGTCAAACCACATCACATCCTGTATTTTATGTGTATGAATCACACTCTTAAATTTGATTGAGAGATTCTGCCCAGCATTTTTAACTAGGCCTAGATGGCTAAAAATAGTTTGATTAAACGTGGTTTTTATTTGTGTACGTGAGTTTAGCTGAGATAACTACATTAATCTCAATACAATTATTTGAAGAATAACTGTCCCTGAGTCTATTAATACATTGAAACCTCATGTATCACCTTTGTAAAGACTGAGGTGTCACCTGTCCTGAGCACTGATGCAGCACGGCGCAAACTTTGTCTGTTTCACAGGAGTTCACTGGGGAAGTGTTCGTCATCCGCCCTGCAGAGGACCCGAGGAAGTGCTGCTAACTGCGAGGGGTGGCGCCATAGGTGAGCTGGCCAATGGGGTGGAGGGATTAAAATAGAGCCGTATATAGCGGAGGTTAGAGCAACTTCTCATCATAATGCGAAACCAGAGAGATGTGACAGCCCTGCCTACCACTTTGTACTACTTAACCGGCCATTGTCCCCACTTCCATCAGGATTATAAGCCATTGAATAAAACTTTTTGAGCCTATTGAAAATAAAGAAAATATGTTAGTGAATGTCCTATACATCAGTTGGTTATTTTAGAAAAACATAGCCTAATATTTTAGTAATGTATTAGATGAAGTACAAAAAAAAAGGATGATAAAACAGCCGTCAACTTAAATAACCTTGTTTTGTTTGTGTGTTGAGCTAAATGTAGAGCCTAGAGGGAGTCTGTCAGAGCAATGCAAAACATCCTTGAATTTGCCTGTTACAGCATCTGAATGAACTGTTTGCAGAGCGATGCCTGATGCAAATAGATAATATTCACAGGAAGGCACTTTGAATGGTCCTCTAAATATTTGACGTTTATTTAAACCTGTTGTTTACCTCCTGTGTGACTTATATCTCTTTCGTTGACTCATTCTTTTTAAGATAAAACTTTGTATTTGTCTGATTTGCTGTGTTTGGCGTTTTGAAAACCAGCCAACAAGCAGGAACTTTGTTCTGATAACTGGTAAAATGGACAAATATGCTGCATGTCTGAAACAAAAAGGAAGGAAGTCAATGATAAAAGACTACGATAAAGTTAATTCAAAGCTGCAGCAAAAAACTATAAAGAACCGCAAATATTTTGTGTTTAAGGACTTCAGATCTTCCATTGGCAGCAAATTGTAGATTTACAACAAATCTCTGCCAAATCTTTTCATCCCAGTATTGGTTTTGCAATGACTGAAACTTCACACTGCTGATCTAGGTATTTAGTAGAAGAAAATAAAAGGTCACTGTTTTTTGTAAGAAAAACCTCCTCATACTGCAACAAACAAATAGTTTAATAGGAAAGGATAATACAAAATTGCATTACATTTTCCACTATTTCACAGATTCCCTACTAAACATTAGAACCATAACACCAATTTTTAAGATTGAAACAAATGACTTGTGATCACAGAATAATCCTTATAACACTGGAACATCAACAAACACACACTTGCATTTATGGTCTATAGAAGAGACAACTCAGTTTAGTCAGTATCAAAAAACATTTTAGTTTTGAGAATGCACTCGTGCCCTTGACCTCACTCAGTGAATCATTATCACTGTGTCTCTTTGAACATCTCATGTCTCTTCTGGACGACATCGTGGATGATATCTGAAAGACAGAGAGAGAGAGAGAGAGAGAGAGAGAGAGAGAGAGAGAGAGAGAGACAGGGTGAGGACGTTTCTGTGTGCAATATGTTTGACATGAATTACCTCTGTTGTGTTTAAAAGGAACCACGAGATGGCACTCCAGCAGTGTCTATGACCTGATGACCCCTGGAGGAAGATTTGTGAAGTACCTTCCAGCTGTCAGAGACAATAACATCAGCCTCAAGAACAGGAGTATTCAATTAAAACTCACCGAGGTCCATTGAGAGAGAATTTCCTCCGGCAAAGGTCTGGAACATCACAATAAGGTCTAACTTGTGCTGTGATTTAGTCCAATATATGTTGAAGTAGCCAACAGTTGTATGTGGTCAACAACTGACTGTCATTTCAAATATAGAAAGTTCAATTGAATAATATCTCAACAATATTCATTGTCAGTTTTTCAATTGAACTGGATGAATTATAATACATACATACATATGCGTACTCTAATAATATATAAATGATCTTCTCTCATTTCAAGTACAATAAGGGCTGGATTAAAAAATAAAATACATTTACAGAAAGCTTTTTAAAAAAATGTGCATCTTAAAATAAAGTCTAAAACTAAAAACTAAAAAAAGCCACGATATTAGATTTTTATCTTCAAAAAAGATAAATTTGTGTGCAGGGACCTTCTCTGTGGTTATTGAAACCACTTGTTTCAGCTCTAGTCCTCTCTGTTAACATCTTATAAAATAATTCTCAATTATCTCTCGGTTTTAGGCCCAGGGTCCGGATACAACGTGGTCTGGGTCCGGATCCGGCCCGCGGTTCGCCTATTAGTGACCCCTGCTCTAGAACACGTTGATGACCTCCAACAGCTTAGAAGAAGATTGTGTTTGTATCTATGTTTGTTTTTTTGTAGCTGTAGATTAGTAGGAGTGCTACATTTTGGGACGATAACTAATTGATAAGAATGTGTGGTGATCCATATCTTTATCCAAAACTATAATGGAGGTCGACGGATTTTTATTATTGGTGCTTCTTTCCATCAAATGATGCCTGTTGTCTTGTGACAGATTGCGGCTTACACCGTTTGTGTACAATTTAGTGCTAGTGTAGTGTACACTGACATAAATACTACTGCATAGTAGTAATACTGCAGAATGATGCCAGTTCAGTGCTAGTGAGAAGTCTGCTGGGTGCTGCGTAGGATTTGTTTGTACTACTTTGCCAAAAAAAAAAAAAACCTGGAGAACATTAAAAATAAAACATTTGTGAAAGCAGGTTTTCAAATGAGAGCATTGCTCAGCTGAAACAGGGGGATGTCTTCTAAACAGCAGAATAAATATACTGTATTCCCTTACTGTCCAGCAGATTCCTTGCTGTGTATCTCCATTCCAAACTGTTGTTGACTTCATCCATCAGCCATGGGATGAAATTAGTCTCAATATCTGCAAAATAGCAACCGCAAATATGATAAAAAGGTTAAGCACTCGTATCAAAATCCTGCACAGAGTGTCAATGAGCTCATCTATTATAGTCACTGATCCCCCTACAGATGTGATTAAATACCGCTGTGAGCAGTGGAGTGCAGTGATGCCCTCGTGTGTCAGTAGGAAGCTGAGTTTGAATGGAAGTTGATGCTGGAGAGCAATGCAGCAAAGGCTGACCTTTCTCCACAGGGTCATAGAAGTAGCCGTGGCCTCTCAGTGAGGTGAAGACTGCCGGTAGGAGGTCAGACAAGTATTGCTTGGAGCACGCCCGGGCAGCAATCTTCTCTGCGACCTCTTTTTCTTTCTTCAGCACCTCCTTCTGATGGGCAATTCTACGCTCCTGAGGTCAGAGGAAAGCTTTTTTTTTAAACAAGCACACATCGTGTTTCACAGTATCCACTCTTTATCGAAGCGGCTATATCTGCTAAACATTTGGTGTGTGGTTGCAATCCTCTAGCACACAGCACCAGAGGCTTTTTAGGACGGGCATGCGGCAACCGGATGTCTGCTTGAAAACATTAGAAGAAGAACTTCCATGTTTGAGCAGACAAAGAAGAGACCAACACCTACAGAAACTACAGTTAAAAAAAGAAGAGAGTCACTGTTTGGTCTCCAGGAAATGCAGAGCAAAAATACTACAGCGATGACCACGTAGCAACGCAGATAGAGACAATATTTTAATAATATATTCATATTACGCCGAAATTATTAGGATTTTTCCTAAAAAGGTCATTTGCAGTTAATCTGCTTCATCGAGACGAAAAGGTTTTGGTTTTAACTGTAAATGGTAAATGGACTTGTAGCGCTTTTCTCAGTTTTCCGATCACTACATGTCATTCATCCATTCACACACTAATGGCAGAGGCCACCATACAATGCCTATCTGAACTATGCAATCATTCTTTCCCATTCATACACCACAGGCACAGCCCAAGGACACGTCGACATTGGACTCTGACGACCCGCTCTACCCCTGAGTCACAGCATGTGTCACGCTGGCAAAATAGACAGCCAATCAACTGGTATTGTAAGTCTGACACTTTATAAATATTTATGAATTCTGATTGGTACACATGATATGACCTTTTTCCATAACAAAAAATTGAGGAGGGGAAGGCGCACAGAGAAAACACATTAATACAGAAATCTCTCCCGTGAAAAAAACATGACACTGTGGCCATTTAGGGTCATAATGCTCGCAGAACTTAAGGAACCTATGGGAATACCAATCCTAGACTTGTTCCTATACAGTGATTTGAAAGGATAACATACTTTCTCCTCACTGCGGCGTCTCTCCTGCTCCTGAAGCCTCAACACCTCTGCCAGCTCATTATTTCGGAGCTCTTTGAAGGCCCTCTGCTGGGCCCTCAGACAGGCCAGCTCCTCCTCCTCCATCACCTCCCCGAGAGACTGTTCTATTGTCTTACCGACCAGGAGCTCCAACACTGGCTGCACCTCCCTGTCGAAGTCAAACAACTGCAGAGGAAAGTAATAATAAGTGGTTTGTGGAACTGAAAACATTAGGTCAACAGATCAACCAGATCAACAGAAGACATTATACAACAATAAACTGGACTTTATGTGTAGACGCGCCTCAGAGGAGTTTCCCCTTTAAATGAAACAGATCTAACATGTTTTACTAGAACTATATTAAGGCTATCGAGTGTGTAAAGTGTGGCCAGACCTCCCACTTGGATTACCCACCTCTCCCTCCTCTATCTGGGTTTCAACATCTTTGCCAGATTTGGCAGGTATGAAGAGTGGGGTTGTGGGTCTGTCCAGGAAATCATCAGTCTGGCACTCGATATCTTTTGCCACTATAATGTCACTCAATTCTTCGAGATATTGCTCTAAAGGTCAAGAGTATTACAAAACAGCCTTTGTTTCCAACAGCACATTTGATAAACTCATAATTAATTGAATATAGTACAGATGTTCTGAAGATGTCAAGAGACACGCCTTACCTGTTTGTACATCGATGTGTTTTCTGCCCTGCACGGCCTCTGGCGTGTTGGTTCTTAACTGTCCCCTGGCTTGTTTTCGAGCAAGGGCTCTCCTCCTGATCTGCTGTTGTATTTGTACTTCAACAGTGTCTGGCTGAGCTATCTGTCAAAGGTGGACAATACACATGTTTAAGATAAAATGGCAGAAAGAAAGGCAAAGCTACCAGGAAACACATTAAGATGGTTATTTCATACTTACAATTGGTATGATGTGTTGGACATAAGTGTTTCCTCTGACAACACGACGGTCATACATGATGTTTCCATAAGTACTGTGGGTCCTATATTGTGAAGAAAACAACAGAGTACAGTCATACAGTCAGCTCATTTAGTAGCTATAACCTTGTTTGCTTCAGGGGTGACATGCTGATCCATGTTGTGCTGCTATCAGACAGTTTAATAAAGTGGTATTAGAGATATTGTTTCAGGGATTTTCTTTCTGTCTGGTAACACAGTGGTGGAGGAAGTAGAGAATATCCCCCCAAAAAAAATCAAAAAGTGTTTTCAGCACAATGTTATCAAAAGTAGAAGTACTCATTGTGCAGATGTGACCTTTCCTGAGTCATATATATATATATATATATATATAAATTATATTATTGGACTTTAATAATTAATCATACATTCAAGGATCAAAGACGTTAATGCAACCATGGGATGCACAACGAAATGCAGCCCACATGCAACACGAGATAAAGAAGATAAAAATAAAAATAAAAAATAACAGAAAAGCATTTTTTTATAATTTGCAGCAGAAGGAATGCAAACCAGCAGCAGCAAAAACAATTTGCTGAGCAGATAACATCTTACAATATTTCCCTAAATTTCCCTGAATTTGACTAAATTGTGATGTAGCTCGGTTAACTATGTTAGCACCAAGCAAAAACATGAGCACCAAACATACTGTTCAGTCGGAGGCTCCTTGTATCTGGAGCGGTTCTCAACGGGTCTGGGGCGACTTGAGAAGATGTAATTTCCGTTTGGATCCATATTTCCACACAGAAACTACCAGGCACCGTAACGTTAGTTGTAATAATTAGCAGTGTTGATGTTTGGAAGCGAACAGGCTACCAACACAACCATAATAAAAGACACGACGAACTGTTGTTGTAGCAACCGTCTCCAGGAAGTGTAGCTGCCGTTACGTCACTTCCTTTAAAAACAAACCGTATAAAGAGCTGTATTTCACTACTACCGCTACAACAACTACTATTACGTATTTTACAAGTAGTATTGCTGGTATTATTATTACTACTACTACTACTACGAATGCCACTACTAATACTGTTCCTACTACAGCTACTATTTCTACCAATGCTCATACTAATATTACCACTACTACTGCTGCTATTACCACTCCTCTCCCTAATACTGCCACTACTACTCACCCTACTACTACTACCACCAATAATGTTAATAATAATAATATAAGTATCCATTACGACTCAAACTAAAAGGGCCATAGTATCTGCTCTGTTCTGCAGATAGAGTTTGCCCTGTTGTGGCTGTGTAGATTTATTATATTTATTTATATCCTGAGAACTTCTCATTTATGTTGGCGTAATAATTGATAAATGCAAATTGTTTGTATAATCACAAGCTAAATGGACCATGTGGTGAGACTGTCAATCTAAAAAACCCAAAATAAATATATAAAGAAACCATTTACAACTGTAACACAACTGGAAGAGTCAACAGGCACAGTGTACATTAGTATATAGTAACAATTCTAAAGCTGATGAGACTTTAAAAACTGTAACCACCTCTATTGGCTTTTCTTGTTCTGTTTCAGCACATTTCAGTTCTGAGTATAACATGCCGATGCAAGGACCACTTCCTGTACAGAGAAGTCAAAAGGTGAGCAAAAGCAACTCTTGTACATTACTCATTTTTAAGTTAAAAAGTTTTTTTAACTGGTATTCTATTTGTACATTTTCTCCTGATATTATAGAGGTGATTACATAGTTAGAAGTAACAAGCCAAACTCGTATTGTGAGTTGCAGTGCAGGCTCGACATCTCTTGCCACCTCTACATTTTTTTGTATACTTTAACATTGTTCGAGTAAAACAAAACTGTGCACTTGAAAACATTTGTTTTGCTCACAGGCAACAGTGAAATGTGGGCGGCACGAGGCGTATAGTAAAGGAAAGCAAAAACTTGACTGTGGATGATGTTAACCACAGAGAGCATTTTCAGCTCTACGAAAAGTCAAAGTGGCAAAGAAAAGTAGGACACCACATGTTGAAACACATGTTTGTGTGTACAAAGGTTGGAGCTCTGTGGTCAAAGTGACGACTGAAATGTCTCTGTTGTTCTCCATATCAGATTTTTCATGACAGATATAATTTCGCTCTCATTTTTGCACGTTTGATATGTGACATAATAGACCACACTGGATCACAAAAGATCATTACAAATTCAAAATCTACAACCCAAAGTGCCAAATAGTACTACTACTACTACTACTACTACTACTACCACCTTTACTACTGCTGCTGTTGATACTACTATTACTCCTGTGATGACCCCTCCCTTCCACCAGGGGTCTGTGTCCTGTTTCCAGGTTGTCTTTCAGGATGGTAATCTGCTGCTGATGCCTGGGCCTGCTGGAGGTCCCAGCTATAAAGGCTGACCCTCTTCTTTGGCTGGTTTGCGCCTCTCTGACTCCTGTGTTAGTTTAGTTTGCTATGCTATGCTATGGTTAAATAAATGTCTATTTATTACTTTATACTCGTCTTGTCTCCCTCGTGTTACGGCCTTTTGAGCCTGGTGGTGACATATGGGGGCTCGTCCAAACTTGATCAACCAGGTAACACAAGATTCGTGGAGAGAAGTTGGCTTTGCTGGGTAATTGGCTTGATGAGCGGACACTGATTTCTGTGGTGGCCTGGTGGGCAGGTGCACCTCGTTTAAGGTAGTGAGATGTGCAATCTGGTTGTTTGGGAGACATGGACGAGTGTGGTGAGTAGGCTGTTTTCCTGTTTGGTTATTGTGAGCAGTGTTCCTGAGTGTGTTTGTGTCACTGAGCATGTGTTATGCTGGTGATTTTTGTTGAACAGAGTTTGGGTGGTCCTGTATACACGGTTAGTAAATTGCTACTGGTCTGTCCCTGTTAGGCTGAAGAGTGGATTCCTTTGGAGTTCGTTGGGGGGGGGGGGGGGGTTCTGTAGTGTGGCGATGAAAGTGGTTAGAGCAGTTGTCTCGGGGCCAGTTCATGGTTGCTTTACCGGGCCTGCGGGTTTTAGTGCGTAAGTACCCACCACAAGTTGCACCTGAAGACTAGGGGGGAGCTTACTTAGTCTCTGGTTAGGCAGTCGGAGGGACGGGCTGCAGTGATAGCTGTGTATGGGCTGCTCTTACTGTTAGTGGGTTAGTTAAATTCTGTACGGATCAAAACTAGTTTCTTGTGTTTCCTGCTAACTACATGTTTTGTATTCTGGTTTTTGTGATCATGTTCTTGAAGTTTCTGGGTACTACAAAACTCAGTAATAAGAGCATTGCACAGCCTGTTGGGTGTCTGGGTATTGGACCCAGTTACCTTGCAGGTGAAACCTGAAGACTGCCGCTGCAGTGACAGTAGGTTTTTTTTCTCCTTGCTGCATGGTTTATTGTTTATGCTTCAGCTGTCACAAATCATTAAGCATTATTAAAGAGTAAACTGTTCAGCTTGCCACTGTGTTAGCCTCCTCGTTAGTGTTGAATGTAAGCCACGATATTACGCAACCAGCAGGGCACACATTGATCTCGTTTCAGTGCAGAAATGGACTCATAACGGCATCTTTTTTATTTATTCTTTTTTTTTATTCCACACTCATAGCCTTATTTCACTTTTACAAATGATACGTTATAGTCTAAAGCCATCCTCGTTCAGTTGTCTCGCTTGCTGTCTTTTTAAAACAAAGGTTACTCAAGCAATCAGGAAACTAGGTGGTAATCGAAGTAATTAGGCATCCAAGTGCAAAAAGGCTCTTAGTGAAACATGTACATTAAGTGGCAATGGAAGCAGTCAAGAGCAGTGAGGTTAAAACGGAGACAATTACTGTCGGCAAAAAGCAGCATACAGCATATGCAAAGTAATTATTTTAAAATGTACAAAATGGGGTGGACAGGGGACAATTAATACACTAGGCCTAAATAACTATTGTGCAATACAGATACAAATACAACAGTTTCTATAATCTCTATCATGGAAAGTAAACATGATATTAAGTAGGGTCAGTGCATTACAGCAGAGATTACGCACTTTATGTATTTTTGTCATACCATTACCGATACCGTTAATATGGTAAACACGGTGAGTCATTTCATCATAATTTAACAAGTGATTTAAGTGATTGAAATGTAGCTAATGTTATGCTGTGTGCAGCTCTGCATTTCATATTCAATCAGCGGTCAGGCAGTAGTAAGTTACACTCACGGAAGCTGTACAATGTGTTCATTAAAAATCAGCTAAAGAGCAGCTGTTCATTAGTTGATTGGATTTTGGAAATTGGTTTGTTGATGAGCACACACTCTGTTTAAAAGGTATATCTGTACTTGAAGCAATGCAGTAAATGTGCTGCAACTGGCTGCAACTCTTTTCTCTGAAAATTTAACTAAATGTTCATCATAACTCAAGCTCTGGCGAACTTAAGCTCATAATTCATTGAACATCAAATTTAGTCGAGGTTTGGATATTACCTGCAATGCAACCAACATGTTTGGGCAAGGTCTTTCAATAAATATCTCACAGATGAACAGCAGAGTTGAGCTGATGACTCCAGTTCTCTCACATTTATTTTTGAATGGTTTGGTAAATGTTTTCTTTGCAGAGAATCAGCTCAATATAAGCTGCATGTTGATCTCTTTGTCCCCGTAGTGTGATCAAAACACACCACAATAAATGCTGCTGCCCCAATGTTACTTTCTTGTACTTCCTTGATTAAGATCATGTGAGATCTGAGGATTACATTCACACTTTAGAGGTTGTGCTGCAGAGGGTGATGCACGATTACAACAATGTGTCCAAGCTAACACAAATTGACACAGCACACCTTTCTGGAGCTTTTAAAGGTTTCTGCTGACATTGTGTCGGATTGGTGCTAATTAGGTTTTTTTAATTGGAAGCGTATAATAATGAGTTAAGAGTTTAACACAGGTTAAATAAACATATGCTTCACAAATATAGTCATTCCTGCAGGTCTACTGTAATGGATTTCTGAATTATATATATTTGCAATGTTGCTTTGAACTGTGTTGCTGATTATGTAAAATGAGCATTATCAGATTATCTTCTAAATCCTAAATTTCACTATGAAAAATGTTACCAAATGCTCAGCTGCAATCTCATCGCAACTTTTGGATGAACTAAATTGACTTGTTGAGGAAGGAAACGATGTGTTAAAACACCGAAGGAAGGAAGAGACGTGGTATCAGATCATTGTGCACTCTGAACAGCAATTCAGAGAAAAACCAAATCCACCCATGTGACCAAGTCTGGTTTCCTCTTGCTTCCGCATATGTGCCAGAACATGCTGTTCTCTCAATTAGGCCTGATAGATTCTGTTATGCAACACATCTAGCAAAGAGAAGTTGAGCCAAAAGAGTTACCCCCCCCCCCCCCCCACCCTCCCATTATCTCATTATTTGACTGGGGAGCGTTTCAGAACCACAACATGAGCTTTCTAGAAGGTCTCATAGAAACAGTGAAATAAGACATTTCTTTTTCCTTTTATTATTTTTCTGCCATTTGACCAAAAACAATTTCTGGTGCAATGGCTTGACTCTGGGAAACCACTTGACAAAGATTACACATCTATATTCATGACATTTTATTTACAAAGCATAGTCTATCACATGAAAAGTGCTTTAATGTAGTGGAAAAAAAAGAGCACGCAAGGTGAAGAGGATTTACAAAAAGCAACAAAAAAACCACAACATAACTCATACCAAAACAACTTCAAACCAAACATAGAAAATCGAAAGTCTTAGCATATTTTATCCACAGTGAACTGTGTTTTCATAGCTTCATTGTGATAGATATCTCTCATAACTACATATCTTTTAAATGGTGTACTCTAAATAGTACTACTGAGAAAGTGCAACTGTAGAGGCGGCACATAGCTGGCATTCATTCAAAGTGAAACAGTGAAAAATTAACAGACTGGATTTCATGTACATATACAAGCATTTCTGTCTCACAGAGCTACTCAGTGGGCACAGCCTCAAAAACACAGCTTCAAAGGGGAAGGAGTAGCTGCTACTATGAAGCCTTGCGATTAAAAGAAAACGTGACTGTGTCTCTGAATGAATGAAAATAAAAGAAGCTTGTCGGGTTTCTAACTGGCGGTTTAAAAACTGGTTCTTAGGCTTTGCCCACGGTATTAAACTCAAAAACATGTTTGTATATTTAAAATCTGATCTGTGAAACAGTTCTAAAGTCAATCAAACATAAGACTCCTTGGCGTAAGAAATATCCTCAAACACAGGCTGGCTACATCTCCGTGACACAACCTCACGATGACCTACAGACTCGGACATAGCTCTCTGGCGGAAAGCCTGCCGCTGCTCGACGACGTTGGCTTTGTCCTGTGCTGCTTGAGCTAAACAGTCTATGTACTGATTGACTGAACAGGTAGGTGGGAAGTCATAATTTACGGAGGATGGACGGGACCTTCTCTCCAGCTTTATGGCATCGTGTACAGTCATTGATCCATACTGCGGAGGAGGACTCATGTTCCTCAACGCCTGCGTGTATGACGGAGGCCTGCAGGGCAGCTTGCTGTCCACCTGCTTAAACACTTCAATGGCCGACAGAGGGCGTGGTTTACGCAGAAACTCAGCTGGTGGATCTGCTTCACTCTGAGAGTCCTCCTGGAGAGTTTCACAAGGGAAGGGGTTTTCCTTCTGAGAGTCTTTCTTCAAGCTGTTTCTGCTGAAGGCCCCTAAGCTCCTGGTCCTTATTAGGACTCTACTGGCAACTCTCATGGACTGTGAATGCCTCTTCTCCTCTGAATTCGGCCTGGCAATGTCCTGCTGAACTTTTCCAGCCACTGAAGGCTGGTTGGATGTGTTTGCTTTCCTGGGGCAGGATGGCGACCCCACAGGGGAACTGGTGAAAACGGAGCCTTCAGATTGATTTGAGGCAGCACTCTCAAGGGAAGAGCACGAGCAGTTACCTTCCATGTAGGGCAGAGGATCCATGTCGGAGTTCCTGCTCAGTTTTGGAAAAGACGACACTTGTCTCGCTCCACCTCGTCCTTTGAGCAAGAAGGAGTCGTCTGAGATCTGCTTTTTCAGAGGCTGCTCCTCAAAGTCTCTCCTCTCCACTGAGCAATCGTCATGGCTCCTGGAGTGACTGCACAGGCTCTCGAGGTCAGCTGAGTGGAGGATGATGGGCTCGGAGCAGCGACGGTTGAACGCTGGCTTTGTGTTGCAGATGGCATCAGCTGGCCAAGAGGAGGCGGTGAAGCTGGGTCTGAGAGAGGAATATGATCTAGTCTCTCCTGCCTCTCCATCTCCATCTGGGTCGGTGCTGTCATACGCAGAGTCGTGATGCTGGGAGGACAGTGAGTCTGCAGAGTGGGGAAACAAAGACATGAATAAGATCTCTAAATTTGACTAAAGTCAAATCTAAGGTTCCCAACCCCAATCATACAGTAATAACAGAGACTTGAGTGATGTGCAAATGTACCTTCATCAGTATCCAGCAGATTTAGGGTATTCTCTCCAAGTATCTCATAATGCTCAATCAGGAACTGAGTTAGCTCTGTGACCTGCAACAAATCAGAAAAAGAAGTACAATTAACAACAATATAAAAATGATATAAAGAATTCAGAAAAGCAAAGCTGTGGTACAGATACAGTCCAGACACAGTGCATTGCTTCAATCGACCAACATAGTGCGTGTATTTATCAGTCCTCAACTCAACAAAGAGCCAACAAAATTCAGTGCAAGTGTAACTTTATGAAACCTTTTTGAGGTTTTCTGCACGGTGAAACCACAAAGCTTCAAAGCACCAGAACTGAGAAAGAATATTCATAACAAATCTCTCTCACCTTCTTCATCTTTTCCTTCTGCTCATCCAGCGGGGTGCAGTCCAGCTGCAGCAGTGTGGGGGCGATGCACACCGCCAGGTTGTAGGCATCCATCTTGTTGCTGTCAGCGTTTTTGAGGATGTGATGCAGGACGCAGACTAGATGCTGCAGGAGGAGTTTGTTGAGTCCTGGGAGGTCATCCACCACGCTGTAGGCGGGTAGCAAAAGGAGGAAGGAAGAAAAAAAAAAAGAGAACAGGAAAGAAGACTTTAGTTTGGCGCTCGTTTTTTTTTTTCAATTCAATGTTTCTTCCTTCTTTTAAACTGCAGACAAATTAAAATGGAGAAGTGGTTTGTGTTCAGCCTACAGATGGAGCACATTGGAAATGTTCTGCTAAATTCAACACTCAAAATATCCATCTGTATACTTTTGACCACATAAGCAGTAGTAATGGGGATTCCAACAGATTTCCTTTCATATATATAAATAAATAAAATGGGCAAATACACGCTGGGGGTCACAGTTGCTGGTAAATGTCTAGGCTCATTAGCAGGTATTGATTGCTTACTTCTTGATTTCCAGAGCCCTCTGCTGGGTGTCTTCAGTGTCCAGAGCTGCCATCCACTTGTCATAGAGTTCAGACACCAGCAGGCTGCCAGGAAGTTCCTTCAGAAAACTCTGCAAGCGAACAAGAGAGGGAGTCGATGATGAGACACAGCGCTTATGAATAGAAATGATCTGGTGCTTGTCTTTAGGATTGGATGTGGGTGAGAACAAAAATAGCACAAAGGCATCAAGGATGGACCTCATATTGTGCATACTAACATACTATTAATGGTATAATATAAAATGGTAACAGTTTGGGAATTTACTTTAAGCAGCCCGACAAGCAGAACGACTGGCTGGACCTCCATGTCCACCTCCAGGCCGCTGTTCAGCTGCTCTCTGATGTCCTTCATGTTCCTGTTATTGCAAGGTTTCCGAAAGACTCCCTCTGTGGACGGTCCTCTCTTCCTCAGCAACACCAGCACCTCCTGGTGAAAGGACGGGGACGGAGAGATGTGAGATTATCATAGTAAAGACAGAAACCAGCTGAGTGTGTTGAGTGCAATTATGGGCTGAGACTAATCGACGTGCAGAGCATGCGCTCGCATGGTTTCCTGTTGTCAAAGAGCTGCCAAAGTTCAGCTAACAAGGTGTTTGTTTATTAGTTATGAGTTGTCTTATATTCAGTCTTGAGTAGTGCTATTCCTTAAAACAATATGCAAATCTGAGAAACAAAAGTTTTACATTAGCTCTTCGTCTTTAAGACAAACTTGACTGGCAAGAGGAAGTGATGAGATCTGACATTTGAGGTAGAGGGTTTACTTACTGTGACTGGTTTGGGAAGTGAACATTCATCTGGGCATATTTTACGGAGGGGCTGTCCAAACAGCTGAGTCGTGGTATCTGCTCGGCGTGCTTTGTTGATGAAACTAGAGCCCTTTCTGAGCCTCTTCACCAGGTTCCACTTGGTTTCTGGTGGAAGCAGAAATGTTTGATTCAACGTTATATATTATACGTACAGATTAAAGCATTTATTTAAGTCTCCTGTTCACAACAATTCAAAAGTAGTGCAACATGGCAACAAAACCAGACGTGCAAGTTTTTAACCCAGAGCGCCAACAGTTTTCTTCACTTGCTCACTCTTATCAGCAGTTACATTTCCCTTTTCTGTCTTTGTGGTTGTCCTCTGTGGTCTCATCGCTACACATGGCACAATTAATGAGCCCCTCCCTCCATCAAAACTGCCACTTTCAAACTCACCAATGGGATGTTTGTCCTCCTGGTTATTCAACTGCTTTGACACTGCGCAGATCTTTGCATTGCCCTGGTAAAAAAAAAAAAAGGGGATGTGGTGATGAGTATACAAGAGGACCAGCATGCAACTAGGACAGAAGGGAGAAGGGTGTTGTGTTTTGTCAATCGCCCAGCACCACACACCCTCGCTATTCATGCTTACTGACACATCGAGTTAGAGTGAAGGAATCACATGACAAGCCAACAATCAATCACATACAACTTTTTAAAATCACTTTTGAATTGTGATTCAGATGTATTTGTTTTGCAGCTACAGTATATGCATTTCAGACACGGATCTCAACATGAGTGGAGAGATATCTTTAATCTCAAGAAGCCATTAAAATGGAGGTTTTACTTACATCAATTGGACAGTCGATGAATTGCTCCATGCTACCTCCTATTAGAGTTTTAGTCTGAAAGAAGAGAGAGACAGAGAGAGAGATTATTTACTAAAAAGCTCTTTTTGAAATATGTTTTGGTTTCTATTGGACATGGCAGAGCGAGCAGTGAGAGACTTACTGTGATGCTGCCACCCAAAACCTTCATGAGGACGTCTGGTGGGGAAGAAGCACAACCAGCTCTCGCTTTTGCGTCTTTAATTTTTCTGTGAAAAGATACCCATAAATTTACATTTTGCATTTCTAATTCTTTTAGTATTCACACTTTTTAGTCTATATTCTAACTTAACCTAACGACACAAAATCTGTCTTACTTTATGTTTTTGCGTATCAATCCTTATAGTGGTTCATTATGCTATCAAGTAGTTCTTTATTTATTTATTTTTAGTATTGGAGACAAAATGTACACTGCTCTTCATTATTTAAAGATGTTATCTTGCTGGAGTCGACAGCACGTTATCTGAAAATATGTGTTGAAGCGTTTTTCTACATTCATTTGAAATCTTTGAACATCGTTATTGATTTCGCTGATAATTTGGTACCTGCAGCAATACTATGTTGTCAACATTGATCAAAATGGCTGTACGTTGTAGCTTGAGTATTATCTAACTGATAATTATGATAATTGAAAGGCTCTTCAATTGAATACATATTGACTATTAAATACATAATCTGTGAATAATGTTTTTTCTTACCTGTGAAGAATATCTAACCAGCGTTCTTTAACCTCAGGCGAGCTGTGGGCAAAATAACAGCATGGTGTGAGTTACTCATCCACAGAGAGAATCAAACAGGCAGATAGATACAGTGGGAGGAATGAGGCAAAGCGTGCACCCACGGCGGCTTTTAACAACTCTGGTGGAAACTGTATCACAGTCATGGGTACAGGAAGCAGCGTCACGGCGGCCCCCAACGAGACACCTTCCACTTCCTCCTAGACTAGGTTTACTGCGGCTCGGTGTCCATGAGTGGAAACGTGATGATGAAACAGATACGTGTGCCCACATGTGCACCTAAAGGGCCTCACCTTTTGAAATGTTATTCAGTGGGGCCTCAGTAAGGCAGCTTGCCGTATCATATGGTTGTGTGCATATTGAGCAAGTGTCTTACAGTCTCTCTTACACGTTCATCTCCTTGTGTGGGAAACTTTCACATACTGAATCATTACGAGAGACAAACATTCAGAAAATAAATGAAACTCAAATCCCACCAGTGGGGTTCATCAACTTCTTGGAATACATAGCGTGTCAAACACAAAGTTTTAATTACTTTTGGAAGAAACGTGGGAGTCGATGAACAACACAAATGACTACCACCTTTCTCTACTGGTGCCATTTAGTGCCTTAATGAGACAGATGACATTAACTGAAGAGAAACGTTTCATTCATTTTAGTAAGTTACCCTGCCTAGACAAAAAGTATGACACAGTGTTTCTCCTGCACTTCGTCTTTATGGTAAAGGCCAGCATTTGTAGATAAAGTCATCTGACGTTAATCCCCTCACATGAAAACTGGTTTGCTGAGCTGCTCCGCACTTCCTATTTTGCAACCTCTTTGTCTTGTGATGCTGCAGGGATGACTTTCTCTTTGTTACTTCCCTGTTTTCATGAAGGCCACAGATCATATGACCAGATCATAATGACCATTTACTACATGTGTGAATGTTCCATGAACAGCCTCAGATTTCATTTCAAATAAGAAGCAGGAATAGTTCAACATTAGGGAACCGAAATTAGCTTCCTTGCCAAGAGTTTCATGATTCGATACCAATCTCTCAGAAGCCAGCCAGTTAGCTTAGCTTAGCACAAAAACAGGGGGAAACAGTTAGCCTGGTTTTAACTGAAGGACACATAATCCAGCACCTCTAAATATCTCAAATTAACATGCTACATCTCATTCGTTTAATCTGCACAAAACGTGAAGCTGGGCCTGCGATAGATTGAAGTAATTTGATTCATATACATTTTTGGTTTTGCAAAATGTGTAAAATGTCCACAAAATTGAGCTATTTCCGACATGCTCAAATCAAAATCAGAATACCAAGCGGGTTGTCACTTACAAGGAATTATTCTTGGCAACTGTCACAATAAACATAGTACGAGAGAAGAGAAATAAGCTGAAGTACTGGAGGTTACTGCTGGTTGAATTGGTCTTGTAAACTGTGATGTGAATAACTACTGACTGCGGGTGGCTAGCTGGCTCTGGCTATCTCATAGTGAAAACAACACTTCACTTCTACACTCTTCTGTGTTTGTGGAACAGATTTTATCTCTGGTTATGTGATGTGAAGCCACAGGTGGTGCATGTCTGCATTGCACATGAAAAAATATGACATTTTAATCATGTTTTAGTCAAAAAAAAGATTAAAACCATTATCGTCTCCAAAAATGACAAAACAAAAGTTGCCCTTTCCTCCCGGCACTACTAATACGTGCACATCCCTAAATCCCACTATACCTTTAAAGAGATATCTCCTCCTAATTCACTTTTAGAGTGAAGGATTAAATTCGATTGGAGTGTAAGAGGAAGAATAGCAATAAACTGAAGATCATCACAGCCAAACATTAGCATTGTCATGCTTGTGCATGTGTATTCAGGCATGCATGCACATGTGATTCAAATCACTCAACACAAGGCTGTTTGTATGTGAGTCATCTGCTGCATGTGCGCTCACCAAAAACACACCAAACAAACAGTGAGATCCCAGGCCAAGACGAGTGTCACCCTGAGGTCAATGTCCCCTGTTGTTCCCTCCTCTTCCTCCGCTTCATCTTCAAACCCGTAGAGCCAAACGTCCTCGAGGCTCACTCTGTGCTTCAGGCGGTAGCTGCTAGTCGACCTGTCCGAACAAAAGCAGAAACAAAGGCGATAGCCATTTAAATAGTCCTTTCTGTTTCCATTTCGCACAAATGTTTCTCAAGGTTGAAATGCAGGTTTCAGTTCCAAATTTCTGTCCCAGTGACAGATTTTGTTTTCCTTCTACAGTCATTTTTTGGAATGCAGTGATACAACGAGATTGTCTTGAGGCTGTCTTTAGAAGATTTGGGGACCATTCTTGGCCTCAACTGAAAGGCTGATCAACTACCTTATTATTACTATTGTTTATAATACTCAGTACAACGATTGATTTAATTAATTATTGATTATTTTCCTTCTTTCTGTCTGTTTTCTTTTGTTGAGTTGTGACTACACGTTTCGTCTCTATTTCAAATATAGTCATTTTAGGTTCTGCTGACACTTAAATGGAAGACTGAATTTTGCACATGAAAACATCACAAGGAATAGTCTTTGATGCAAATATTGATTGTCAAGGATTAAGAGATATAAAATGCTCTTCTGATGCATTTGGCGGACATTTTGTCAGTGCAGTAAAATCATTACAAGGAATGCTTGTTCCTATTTCTGAATAAAAAAGCTTTAAGCTCTTGAACAGGTGTGAAGCTAAAACTGAACAGCATGTTTGACATGCCTTATAAACTACAGAAATATCAAGTAGGACAAACTGAACCCTCAATTCCAAGTGACTGAACTCCTTCATCAATATCGCTGCACTCTCTGTGTCCTGATAGGTGGACGTTGTGAGAGGCGATGGTAGAGTCTAAATGAAAAGCTTAAAAACAGCTTCCACAAAATGTGCCTAACAAATTATTAGCGGGGAATCATTCCCGCTCAGATGTTCACGGCATCTCTGGGGCCGTGACCCATGCTAACCTCTGCGTGTTTTGCAGCAGAGGCGTGCTGACTGGATCCTGCAGCGCTGATAGATTGAAAGGAAAAGCAGAAGAGTCAGAAAGGTATGAAGACAAAGGGTGTGCACTTGAGGACTCAGGAGGTGTTATGGTGTAGCAATAAAGAGAGAGAAGTGATGTGCAACTAATCAGAGGTAATATAGAAAGGTTGATGCTATTATAGATGGTCCACAATCACGCTTGCCCGATTCTGGGAACATTTCCTCTTCCAATTTCCTGGACAATATGCTATTTTTAACCCGAACCATTCGTCCCTCCAGACTGTTCATTCTAGCATCAATAGAAAGGCTGTGAGAAATAAACATGGACAGATTCAAACACTGGGGGGTCGTGGGGGAAATATGAATTGAGGGTCCCCACTGACCCACTGTGCATTGTTTAAGTAAAGAGTCACCTGCAAGAGCATAATTCACAGAGCACACAGCAGATTAAAGATAGATCTGTTATATTTTATTTAATATAAATGACATGGCACACAGTTTTCCAAATGATTTGCTGTGTGATTACCACCAGCATAATATCAAAGCCTAATAAACAAAGGTACAAGGGAGAGACAGGCTACCCTGTTTATACTTGCTTTATGCTAAGCTGAGCTGAGATAACTAGCTGCTTGCGGTTGTTTCATATTTATTGGACAGACATGAGAATGGTATCAATCTTGGCATTTAACTCTCAGCAATGAGAGTTGGTTGATTTTGTGATTTCATGATGCTTATTCCCAAACCAATTTTTACTTGAAATCATAAACTGACACACAGAGAACCAAGTTGGGGTTTTTTTTGGCCTCTGGAGGTCTGGTTGATAATCCAGCCGTGGGAAATAAGGATATAAAATGAGGTAAATAATCAAGGTAATTTTTTCAGACTGTATAAAGCTCCCTCTAGAGCCAGTGAAGCCATTATGTTTTCAAAGGTATACTCCACATGACTGGTAAACTGAATTTGATGTGTAAAATCAGTGAAGTACCTTTTAAGAAAATGAACACTGATGGTACCATATACACTCTCTCTCTAAGTAATGAATGCTCAATATATATATATATATCTATATATATATATATATATATATATATATATATATATATGTATATATTTATATATATATATATATAGACTCAAAAGACTGTTTACGATATCTTACTGTAGTCCCAGTTTATACTGGAACAGTGGGCAGGTTGTGGTACACAGATGAGTGTGATTATCCTCCCACTCAAGAGCTGTAAAACTTCCACCGGCTTTGACAAACAGCTCTAATTTGACTAAGATGAGCAACAACTTAAAGCTTGTTCACTTTTATTTTTTCAGTTTAATCGACTAGAAATCTGCCAGATCAGATCATGTTGATTTCATCCAACGGGAACAAAGTAAAGGGAGGTTTTCATTGTAATTATTGTAATAATAATAACACAGAAGTGATTAAAGTATATATTTCTCAAGGTATGTTTCTGGATTCACCTCACTTCCAGATTGATATTAGATGTAATATATGTAATATTGTCAGAACTTCAGCTGAATATATGCTGAATATATATGTTATTAGTTTTTGAGAAAAACACATTTATTCCCCCTCATGTGACTCCACTAAGAGGGAACCACCATGCTTTCTTCTTCTATTTATATCAGGTCAGAGTGACTAAACTCAAACAGTTTTGTTTGCTGGGAGATTCCCTAACAGTCCGAGTATGAAGACCAAAAATACACGTTTTGTTTTTACTTCCTCTTTCACTATCCCATTCCAACTGTCACAAAAATGTGTCAACTTTTTGTTCTGTGGAAACTTATTTGATTTTCTTCAAAGCCTTTCTGGGATGTATATCAATATCTACACCTCTTACTTGAGTTTAGCGAAGACAATGACATCGCTGAAGAGGAACAGGTGTCTCTCCTTGGTCTTCGAGCCGTCCGTGACCTGAACACACTCATCCAGCAGCAGCTCTTCGTTCTCACTCGTGAGGCCGAGGACGAACGGACTCTGCTCCACTGAGACCCAACAGGAAGCCTCCTCTCTGAGGGAAAAGGACATACAAGAGGTGGAAGGGACAACCCGCAGCCAGACAAGTCTAAATTTGGTAATTTTGTTTCTGGATTACATGGTTTTAAATTGTTTGCAACATTTTCCAACCTCTTATGGCCATACAACTCAGATGCCATTGGAACATCTGAAACATTTATTGTCACCAATGTTAAACTGTGTTTTTTTTTTTGTATCATTCCAAAAATACATTTTGGTCTTACAGTAAATGGTTTAATGGAAAGCAATAAAACAAAACATCCTAAAATTCTGTATTTGATGGGAAACCACCAACTGTACAAGAATCAGTGCTTGGTTGACAGGCGTGGGAAGTCAAAGACGCAAACTTTTTCAGTTCAACATTTGGGGGAAAAATGTTTATTTGCTTTATTGCCAAGAGTTCGATTAGAATATTGATACAACTCAGGTATGTGTCTATGTTAGTGTAAATATGAAGCTGAAGCCAAGAGACCGTTAGCTTAGTGAGCATAAAGACTGAAAAAAGAAAAAAAAAACAGCTCCTGTTGCTGCAACTTGTAATGTTTACCAGCCCCAACAGCATGTGTGTGTGTGTGTGTGTGTGTGTGTGTGTGTGTGTGTGTGTGCGTGTGCGTGCAGCTGGTATTGTTTTCACCTTGTGCATCATGGCAAAATGTGGTCCTGAAGACACCTAGCAGAAACTACCACAGCACCTGTTTTGAGAAGGCTACTTTGCCAGGTGTGTATGTCCGTCTGTCTGTGGACAGATTTTGTCACATCCGTGCAACATGCAGTCACAAAACTTTACTTTACCACCAAACAATCGATAATAAACCACCAAACAATCAGCAAAGTTGATGTGCAACAACTCCAAAGGTTAGGTTGTTCTTCGGGGACTAAAGAGTGACCTGAAGAACAAAAGATATATCGCTAATTCTAATCAATAGCCTCCAACACTCTGATCCTTTCCTAAATACCACAGAGAGTGTGGAATTAGGTTTTGATTTGATGAAAAATGTCAGATCTGTGTGTGAAGGCATTGTCCACCATAACAGATCAATATCATGTCAATAACCTGATATTATTTCATTATAGACTTCTTAGAATAACACACTAGTGTTAACTATCTGATTTGCTTGGAGCGGAGACGAGGAGGGACTTTTTTATTTAATATGTCTACAACTTTGCACACAACTGGACAACAGCAAAACAGATTTAATCTTTAAACAGAAAACAAGCAGTGACTTTGGCTGCGGTTCTTGATTCTTCTGGGGATTACCTCTCATCTCACATGATGTTTACAGCCTGACTCAATTATTTGATATCTCACCATAAAATAATCTGTAGTTTAAAAAAAAATCTATTTGGTTAGGTCACTGCGGCAGTCATGTAGAAAATGTGCACCAAATCAACACATGATTAAGTCAAGGTGTACAAACACAAGAAGTAAGAGTTTGTTCTACATGATTATGAAACCAATGTTGGTCATTACTCTTCCCACTGACTCTGGGTTCAGGGCAGAAATTCAAATTGTTGCAGCAGAGGTACTTTCCCTGTTACCCTTCTGGCCCACTGAAGATGACACATAAAAATCCCGGCAAATAAAACAACTACTCCAACTGGTGGTTCTCAACATGTGTAAATGCAAACAGAAAACAACAAAATAGTAGTTATATAATCACTATTTAACATGAACCACTGCTACATAACGCAACTGCTATTATCCATTTAAGTAATAGTTCAACATTTTGGGAGAAATACTTTAATCGACCTACGACTCTCATATCTGCCCGTAAAATATGAAGACAGCAGGAGATGTTACTGTTAGCTTAGCGTACCGGCTATAGCCTTGTTCATTCCAAGGTAGCAAAAAATGAACAACAACCAAAGTTAAAACAACAAGAGCTTCAACTTTTTCTTTTTTTCTTACAGACAGAGCAAAGCTAGTTGCTAAGCTAAGGTTAGCCTTCTCCTGGCTGTATGCTCATATGTATAGATGTACAGAGGTATCTATCTTCTCCTCTAACTCTCTGCAAGAAAACAAACTCACTGTCAAATTATTCCTTGAATACAACCAAAAGTCATATTCTAATTGTCTAAAATGTATATAATAAAAGTAGATTGTAAACAATCACTTGTTTGATTTTCTCTGCACTGCATCCTTGATATGAATAATCTCATAATATAGTAGGGGAAGGCCCGGGGAAACATGTTTAACATTTTCCTTCATAGCTCACAAACTACTTGAAAAACACTTGTCATTATTTGATATAAGTAATGTTTATATAATTAATAACAGTTTCACTTATAGTCTTATTAAGACTATTAAATTAAATGTAAAACAAGAAGTCAATTGGCCCCTTGGTGGGCAAAAGTAAAAGGTAGCGATTAAATTGATTGCACTGCAACTACTTATTTGTGGTGTCTGATGTATTTTATGTTTGTAGTATCTGTGTTTGGTTAAATGTTGTGTTTTGTGTATATGTGAAACAGTGTATACTTTGGGATGCAAGACACATTTCAGAAAATATTCTGAAAATAAAATGAAACAAATCAAATATTTAACTAAATACATAGCTAATTATCTTTAACGTGTATTTTTTTTATGGTGATGAGGTACTATCTACGTCAGCGGCTGTCCCACTAGAGTGAAACTACCACCCACGAAGTCCCCCGCCTTCAGGAAATGCACAACGTGTGTGTGTGTGTGTTGAGAGTGGGACGTGAAGGTCTGACATTTCTCTTATTTGCTTTTGATTGACTCGCCCACTGGATGCTCCGGGGGTCTTTGCCTGACCGCTGTGACAACAACTCTAAAAGGTTAAAGAATTAAATATCAGACATAGAAGAGGAGGTGATGAAGAGCTAACACAGTAAACGGTAAACGGGCGGCATTTACATAGTGCCTTTATACCAGACAGAATCTGACTTGACTGGGCGCAAAAAAAAATAACGTTACAAAGATCAAACTAAAAGAAAGTTTGGCTGTTGACAAGAGCCTTCAAGCAAGTACTGCTGTCTCAGTGACGCAGGGTCTTCTTGATCAGAAAACTAAAGCAGTGCTCAGTCCTTGAGAATTTGAAATCGGCTTGGAGGTCCGAGTCCCCTCCACCCTCCCTACTACCTGACAATAAAATAACAAGGACTGTACATCAAATGTTTTATTATTTGGACTTCTCTGCTGTTATAACGTTGCAGATGGAGATCTAAATGGAGTTTCAAACCTTTCTCAACAATGCTAGGAACTCAATTCTGATAGGGAAATGCTGAATCTTTTACCTTATTATTTGTTTCCCTACAATTACTCAAATTGTAATATAATGTGTGTTAACGATGGAGATCAGCTATTCAAATACAATTCCCGGGTTGTAAAAGCCCCAGATTCCAACAGGACATGACCCCAGAACTGAATTAAAGTTTCAGATTTAATTTAAGAGTTTTTAACAGTAATACAGAAACATTGTCTTAGAGGCAGCTTCTCCTTTGCACCACAGAAAATCTCACTGGTCAAAATAAACCTCAGTGGGTGAAATTGATTCTTGTTTACCTAAATAAAGTTGGTCGGTGTTCAAGAGAAATTGTATGAAGAAGCAGCTCCTGTAAAATTAAGAAGCTGAGCATTCTCTCTATAACAACGAGACAGGTGACCCTGCAAATTCAAAACAAACAATACAAGGCACGGCACCCACTGGTTGTTTCAGTGGACATCTCAGCATTTGGCATAAGTTTTGCCCTCAGTTACTCTGTGTTCTAAAAATGTGTGCAGATAAAACTAAAACACCATCCTTGTTTACTCCCCAGAAGTTTGTATTTCACTTTCTACCTCACAGTAGCAACCTCACAATATGATGCAACCAGAACTACAGCACAGGTCGGGGCTTCCCATCAGGTACCAAACATATCAACACTGAACACATACGGTCACAAGATGATTCAATAAAATGCTTTAAAAATATCTATATTTCAGTTTCACCTCATTGCTATTTGTACAGCTTTTCTTTTCTTTTATCTAATTCTAATACCTTCATGTCTTCAAGCTACTAAAAGTCACAAATGATGCAATATAAGAGCCAACTGCAGCCCATCTGAGGACTGAACATGATAACCTTTTGATTAGGTTTTCTTGAGATAATGATTTGAAATAGTAGGCAGATTCATTTCAGCCAGTCTGGTCCTCAGAGTTGTTAAAGTGATTGTTAAAGGAGTTTGTGCAGGTGGCAGTCTCAAAACCCCGCTCTGTAAATCCCCCAGAGGGACATCTGTGCTTGTGGCCTGAACAGAGTGATATCAAGGGGACGTCATGACTGTTTCTGTTCCACACGTGGTGGGCACATGAATGGGAGGGGAAAATAAGTTTCTTTATATGGTATGTCAGGTGCTCCTTTGTGACGCGAGGTGATTTGAGATTGTATTCCTATGCGCTGCCATCTGCAGGCCGGAGGCTGCAGTGAAGGAAACAGTCAGATTGCTGTACTGTTCACACTGCACAACTTTTTTTTTACCAAACATTGTCTGTGAGCGGAAAATCAGGGTATGTAAAGGGCAAAACACAAAACTTTGCAACTGATATTTGAATTGATTTGTGTGTGCAAACTCACTTTAAATAATTTAATGAAATATTCCCAGATGCTCAATTTGTCAGTGTCAAATAAAGGACATTGCCTGAATATCTAAAACAGTCTACACAGTGATTTCTGAAGGTTGAGGTTTGTGAACCTTAAAAGCAAATGAACCGCCCCCTTACAAAGGGAACATATCTTTATGAGCTCTTGGGGGTAAAGCGTGATATCTTTCCTTCTTAGATTAATATTTTGAGTAGGCCTGCAGAAAGAAAACTACCCAGTGTTACACAAGTTAATAGCAAAGACAAGTAAACATGTTGAGATCACTCACATCTATTAAGGTTTGGAGCCACTGGTCTGAAGTTAAAAAAGGTTTTCTTAATTTAGATCCGGACATATCGGATCAAAGAATACATAAAAAAAAGCATCCAACGCAGATTTCAACACACACCAGAAAATTCTGTGATTTTTAACAAATTAAGGAAGAAAATTCCTCAGAAATATGTCATAACAGACAGCACCTGCTGTGAACAGCTGCTTTTTTAAATTTCAGATGACACATTTACTATCTGCATCAATATACCTGCTTTAAAGCTGTGCAGGCTAGAAGTAAACATTCATTGCGAGTGGGGAAACAACTGCAGACCAATTGTTGTTTTTGCTACATCACTGGCATTACATCTTCATTATTCTTGTCCTTATGGTTCAGGTTTCATCTTTTAACTTTCAGATGTTTTTAAAGCTCAAAAATTTGGATTCATTAGTTAGAATCTCAGTTTTTCCTCCATCTCTCATCTGTTTGATACCTTACTTTCTTCTCTTCATCCCTCATGTTTTTTTGTTCTTTTAGCTGCTGGAACTGAAGATTGTGATTGTGCTTGCTACTCTTTGTTAGGAGTGTATGAATAGGAGAGCGGGCATTACAGAAAACTATCATCTATGTTTAGAAAATGTTCAATGGATAAAAAAAGGTTAAAAACAATGATGCACACACCTGATAGGAGACCATGGCATCCCTAACGCCTTCCCAAAGACCAGTGACGGGGCCGAGCGTCGTCTCTGAGCCAAGTGTCTGAGGTGCTGTAAAAAAAAACAGAGGAATTGTAATAGTGATACAATATTTATATATATGTATCTATCTATTAATATGGCCTTTCTTATATCTATTTTATTAATGTGATGTTCAAACACTAGCTACAACCTGTCTCATAGCATAATTTTTGTCTCTGCAGTGTAGGTGAATCTTTTGTCTCCATATTGTCCCACTGTCATGGACATTTGGATGATAACATCACTAGGGCTGTAACAAACCTTTTTTTTTTTAATCAATCAATCTGACAACTGTTTTCTTGATTAATCCTTTTGTATATAAAATGTCAAATTACTAACCTACTGTATGTTGCACCTACATTTTGTTTAGAAATAAGATTTGGTGGTTAGTTTTGGAGAAATGTGGTGCAGCAATCAATGTTTTTAATTTTAAAAATAGGATGGTTTGAGGTGCAGGAAGGAAAAGCTCAGAGCTGCTCTTAAACAGAGATGGGAAACTTAACCAGACACACAATTACCAAAACAACCAGTTAGTCTTAATCCATGGTGTGTTTTCTCTTGTAAAACTGACAAATTCTGTTTTGACAACATGACAAAGTCTAAATCTCCTTGCCAGACCTTCGTGTCGCTTTCCCGTATACATTTTCTTGTCGTCTTTTCCGTCTCATTGTGGAGCATCCAGCAGTGATGGGCTCATTACTGCCCCCTGGGACCAAAGTGCAGAAACCCCACTGGTTGAAACTGAACACGCATGTGCATTACAGACATAAACAAATTATGAATTCTTAGAAGTCAGAAAGCTGCACAGAAGAAGAGATGCATGCTTCAGCAAACTTCATTTACCAAAACAGATTGCTTCAGAAATTGTTTCCGTTGGATTTCCTGAATGTGTGTCTGCATCAACAACAAGGCTTTCATACTGCAAAAAAAGTCAATCATTCGATACGTACAAAGACACATGTTTAAAGCTGAAATTGCCTCACTGAAGGGTAACTTTAAGAACCTCCCTAAAGAAAGTCGACTTTTCCAACTTGACCCAGTAATGGATGATGAAACCCTCAGAGTTGGTGGTCGGTTGAGTAAAGCAGCACTGCCAGCAGAATCCAAATATCCAGTCATTTTGTCCAAAGAAGAAATCACATGCTGTTTGGTTAATTTGGGTGAAAGAACACAAGCAGATTTTACATCTTTTTGAGGCTGCTCTTGTGCTCTAATTGCTGGACAAACTGAGAAATTGGATTAATCAGAACTGAAGAGAAAGAGAAAAAGAGAAAAACAAAACAAACAAAAGCAGGAGGACTTGACAAAGCATCTCTTTCTGGCCTCTCTCTCTGCAGCCCGTTCCATGTTGGCACACAAAGACTGACTCATGATGGACCGTGACCAGAACACGAACGACCAGGGTGACATTCAACATACTTACATAACTATATTTCACTAAGTTATGCGCACTTTGACAGTGTGCAACTTATAGTGGAATAGTGGAATGTGGACACATCACAGAGCTATGCAGTATTTTGTTTGCAAGTGCCTAAGATAACTACAGTCACTTGCTAACAAAGCTAATATTTGCTCCCCAACAGCTAACTTTTCCCATCCCATCATCATTTTAATTATCCTGGACATAAGGTGCTAAAATAATCCTTTGACATGCGGAAATCTTATGTGTTTAGCTAGCAACAAGCATTTTCTTTATATTAAAACAAGATTAAAACAAGATTTTTTTAGGTTTGGACCCACCAATAACCCTCGCAAGACCTCACTACCATCTACCAATCCACCTCAGGTTACAGCCTTCAAAACCTCTCTCTCATACACACAGAAGCTGATGAACAACATGTTGATGTAATTGTCAGATTAATGAGTCTGCAAAAACTTAAATAAGCAGTGTTTCGCACTGAGTCACACGCAGTGTTCATCACCAACAGGATCTTTTTCACCTTTGCCTTTGGATGGGCAGATCAATACTCACAGGACGTAGAGACGCCGCAGCATCATCACAGCTTCCTCTCCTCATCGCTGCAACTCCATCATCTGGAGAGTCCATTCTGGTGTTTCCGAGCAAGTCCTCAACCGCCTGCTGTCCTGTACTGTTAGTTTGTGTGTCTGCAAGTAGAGGAGAAGCAGTTTGAGGGCTCTGCTGTGAACGAAACAGGGAGCGGCTGCAGAGTGACGCCTGTTGTGCTGCCGAACAGCTTCTTCTAACTGGTGCTAATGAGGGTTTTAAACAAAGGAGGCTTGGCTGGCACACAAAACAGCAGAGGGGGTTGTTGTGCCTGACTTGGACCCACAGTGCCACTCTGATCTAAGCCAGCCCCCCCTTCCCCCTCCGAAAAAGACCGTATACATCTCTCCCTTCATCTCTCCATCCCAGCCTGTCCTGTTCCGCTCCAGTGAGGCAGTTTCCTCCAATAATGAGATCGCCGTGCCTCCCATCAGGGCCTGCCACCTCGTCCCCATTTCAAGGCTCACAAGGGTGAGATGCCGTGACTGCCAGTGCCACCGAAAAACCGGGTCCCATCCCTCCCCTGTACATACATGAATAGCTGCACGCGCACAGATGTACCTTTAGAGTTGAGTTTTTAAGGCTACTTTCATGTTACACCAAGGCCAAACATAGTGTTACCCGCACATACAATTCAAGGGCATGACAGACAGCAACAAGCAGGAGAAAGTTCAACAGTAAAATGAGCATATAGGATATTTTAAAATATATTGGGATTTTAAGTTTACGGTGATGCTGTACATACATGATACACAGTGGCGGAGGAACTATTCACATCCAGGTAAAAGTACCAATACAACAATGTACAAATACTCCACAAGAAGAAGCCCTGTTGGGTTGGGTTGTACACTCCACCAGGAAAAGTGTCACTCAGGTGAGATTCATTCATAATCCAGTTGCCATTCGGGGGTTTTAATTGTAGAATACACTGCAAGAATTCTGAAAAATGAATCTGTTCTGTTCACTTTGAATAAAAGGTGAGGTCCTATTTACATTACATGAGAGCTTTCCAATACAATGCATTTCAATTTATAACTAAACATCCACATACATATAGATAACAAGAGATTTTGCCCTGCACAAAGTGAATCCCTATAAAACCCAAGGTAATACAAAGGTAACCTGCAGTTTCTTAATCATGAATGGCCTTTCTGAGTTGTTACCTGTCCAATTCCCACCCTATACCACACAGAGGGAGGGCTGCTTCCAGCTGTGGTCCGCACATAAGTACATGTATTAGACTCAGACTCAGGAGGATTGACCAACTGTACATTTATTTCCTGGAGATTAATTTTACACTAATTAATACCCTAACCCTACAGATGCAGTGATATATTATTTAAAGGTATTACATGTAATCACATTGAGTGAGAGAGAGAGAAAGCACAGCGGTGGTCAAGCGAGCTAGAAAGTGAATGAAGAGAGGGGCCGGGGTTAATGAGAGCAAAGCCGTGATTCAGAAGAATAGAAAACATTATTTTCATGAATGTTTTTTCATAATGAAAGTCACAGTGGGTGTCAGGCACAACCACAGTCCAGGTGTAGCCATGGAAACCTGCGAGGCGAAAAAAGCAGAGGAGGAGGGAGGAGGGAGGAACTCGGTGTACTCTGGCAGTCTAAGCCTATTGCAACATAACCAGAGGCTGGTCCAAGGCAAGCCTGAGCAAGCCCTAACTATAAGTGTAATCAAAGAGGAAAGTCTTAGGCCTACTCTTAAATGTGGTGAGGACGTCTGCCCCCCCCAATCTGAAACAAGAAGCTGGTTCCACAGGAGAGGAGCTTGATAGCTGAAGGCTTTGGCTGCCATTCATTTTTTTCAGAGACTCAAGTAACCCTGCATTCGCAGTGCTCTAGTGGCATGAATAGAGTACTCTGGCTATCGTTTTCCGGCAGAGAAACATGGCCTCAGACTTGGGGGGTACTCTGCTGTAAATCGCCCCAGTGTGTGTTGAATGTCACAGTCTGATGAAGCCAACAGAACCACATTGTCTTCTAAGAGCAAAGTCGTAATTCTGAGATTGTGGGAAATTCAGGGACTCCAACCGATTCCAACCAACCTGCAATTATTTGGACCAAACATGCAACCTCCAGAGACGGCTTGTTAGCAGGGGGACATTAAGACGAACAAAACAACACTTTTGCCCTTTTGTTAATAGTGTTTTGAGTTGGCCCTGACCCTGGAGGACCGGAAGTTAATGGTTTCCATCCAGTTGTCAAAAGCTCAGCATGGAGCCACTGAGTACGTCGCTGGTGGCCTATTTTTCAATCATTGTCAGTTTATTTATTTCCTTTTTCTCTTTTGAAACAGTTTCCCATTTTGTAGAGGTGTGTGTGTGTGTGTTTTGATTGGATGGGGAAAGTAATTAAGGGGCCACCGCCTGATATGCCACTTTGGAAAACTTTTCCATGCCCACGTGCAGCTTTCTCCTTTCAAAGTTGATTGTTTGAACACACTTACCAAAGCACAGCACTGCCGATAAGGCTTTGTTCTTTCCTTGCTTTTTACAGTATTTTAAACTTTGTTAAGTGTGCGGCACCACAGTAAAATTCCTGATGACGAGTTCTTACCGATAAATGCAGCTAAATCTTGTTGATGATTTGGACTATAGAGAAAAAATTGTCAACTATTGTCAAGATGTTTCATAATCTGAAGTGCATACACCCAACATCTCACTGCTGATTTTTAAAGACCTTTCACAGGTACAGTCTGACACATTATCTATAACACGACTTTAATGTTTGATGTTTGATTCGCCGGCAAGCTATAAACATAACATTGACATATTATCGCCTAATAAAATTGCTATGGGTGAACGCATTCTTTCAGCTCTGTTTTTGGTGTCCACCAATTCCTGAGGGAAATATCTGTCTCTATATTTAAGTTAGTCACTAACTTTGTCCGTCTGCCCTTTAAAAGGGCATAAAAGCGTGTCTTCAGAATTTTCTTCTGTTTTGTGTGTATTGGGTTCTGAACACTGCCAAAACATGAGTGACCTATGCTCAATACTGTGCCTGAATGCATCCTGATTAAACACAGATGGAGCACTGAAGCTGCTGCTCTGCCAACATGCTGGTCACTCTCTCCTGTGTAGACAAAGTGTAAGACCAATATTCACCCTCTTGTAGCTCTGTTTATGGTCTCCACCAACACCTGAGGAAAATCTCCGCCCCTTTTTACCTGCTAAATGCTGTTGGTTTTTAAATAATAATAGCAGTAAAGTTGAGGGCAATGAGCTCTTAGAGGTCCTAAATTACTTATTCAGAGCAGAGGGATTGCCTCCACACCGGCTCTCAACATGGTAACAGCTGAGCCGGTGGCTTGCAGCTAGCGGTGCTAACAGCTGCAAACAACAACAAATAGAGCTAACAGTGTTTACCTGGGGGGGGAGCAGAGGGTGGGCCCCTTAGTGTGGCCGGCTGGCTATTCAAACAAAGCACAGAGAAACTCAGATTTAGACACACGCAGAAAAAGAGCGACTTCCTTCTCTGCTTATACATTAATCCACTATATCGTTACATAGAAAATAGTTGTTTGCTGCTATAATAATGCTCTGAATATCATATAGAGAACCTAAGATATAGTCCTTTCAATCTCCTGTGGTTAGAAAAACGTTGATTTAGCAGCTTTAAATAAAGTAAGTCATCTGAATTATCCCCATTCAGATTTATTCTTCCTCTCACTTAAACACACTTTAAATGCTTAATTGCCTCCACAACGGACTAAAAGGAGCTTATTATACAAGTGAGAGTGACAGACAAATGAATCTGTCTTCCATGAGACGCATGAAGCAGTTCAACTACTCAGCTGATTATTAAGAAAAGAGATGAACGTGATTCATGCTCTGTGCCAGGTTTGGATTTCTCTCCATTTATGCAGCCATTGATTTTCCCCAGAATGAGACCACGGACTGAATAAAAATGTGAGGATATCTGAACATTTTGAACAATTAAATATATACAATCAGAAAAGAGTGGTGTACAAGATGTGTTTTTTTTTAACAGTTTATTATTCTTAGTTATCATGGATTTGATATCATACTGCAGTATTGTTGTTTTTATCAATTCTTCTATATATCTTTTTTGAGGATTTTCAATTTTCGTGCATTATAGAAATACATTTTTAATATGATTTTAACATCACAAGAGACATGTTCATGTAAAAAAAGTATTTAGGGCTACGGAGAGAAAAAAACATTACAAGAACAAATTCACAGCCCAACTTTCTGTTAATATCAAAGCGCTAAAAGCTTCCAGAGAGTTAGTGGTCAAACTAACATTTAAATGCTGCATTAGACACCTAGCGGGTACAATTTTGTAGAAAATAAACACATCAAAGGTACAAAGAAACATTAAAATATCATGAAAATGGGTAAACGGGTTCATATTCAAAACATCAGACTGAACATTAAATGTTTGCTAATTCAGCATACTATCATTGCCGAGCTGTTACAGGTAGGCACTGAATAACAAAACAACCAGTGCACAAAATATTACAGATAAAACACACACATAAAAACACACACTTAAAAACCTTTCACAGGGAACATTACATATTACAGCTCCTGTTTCTTTCAATTCAGTTGAGGCAGAGTGAGAAGAGAGTCCGAACACTAAGTGAATCTACTTTCTGAAAAAAAGGCCACTGCAGGCTGAAATTATAACAAAGAGTTGAAAAATAGCGAGTAAAAAGAAATCCATAAATAAGAAGAGTGTATGTATTGTGATGTTGTTATAGGAATGAGCCACGTTAGCAGCTCTGAGTGCTGGTATTTCGGTCTCTCAGACGTTATTCTGACTTAGAAGTACAACTTTCAGTGAACACCAGCATGCAAAGTCTGCATATTACAATAAATGATTTAGCACAGCATATATTTGCATGTAACCAGGGATTACAGTCAGCTCTATGTTAGTTTTAAATTTAAGAAGTGTAATGAAAGTATAACATTGAATAAAACACTGAAACAACAATTTAAATGTGAGTTTTTTCCCTAAATAGGTTTTGTTTTTATGACAACAAAGGACAAGCTTGGCCTCATTGAGAATATATGATTTAACAGGATGAAGGCTGTTTAGCAGATATACACTTTATATACACTTTAATTAACAAAATCAGCACCATGGGACCTGATTAATATCTGAGACTCATTACTGAAACCAGTAGTTCAGGACCAGACCTTTGGTTGATGGCTGGATAAACACCCGT